AATCTAGGAATATCTAAAGGAAGTGAGTCAATGAAATTCTGGGGAAAAGCACTGCAGACAGAGGGCACAGCAAGTGCAAAGGCCCTCATGTCAGAAGAAAGGCAAGGAGACCAGTATGGCTGGGGTAGAGTGAGCAGAGGAGAGTGTTGGGAAATGAGGGCACAAAGGTGTCCCATGCCCTGTAAGGCCACACTCAGAGCTTAGGATTTGATTCTAAGTAAGAAGGGAGGCCCAGAAGGACTCTGAATAGAGTGGTACTGAGCAAACTGAGATTTTAACAGTGCCCCTCTGGTATAGACATGAGGAAGGGTGGAGGCTGGGAGACCAAAAGTGGCTGCTGCAGTAACACAAGCAAGACATGATGATAGCTTGGAGGCAGAGAGAAGAGGTCAGATAGTAGAGTCTGTCTGTCTATCTATCTATACTTCTTTTTTTTTTTTGTTTTGGGGAATGAACCCAGGGCCTTGCCCATCCTAGACAAACACTCTTATCACTGAGCTACATCTGTAGCCCGTGGAGATAAATTTAAGATAGAACCTAGAGGTATCTGCTGAAAGAGGAAGAGGAATCAAGGACAACGCCAAAGTGAGTAATTGGCAGAAAGAAGCTGTCATTTATTGAGACTGGGCAGACTCAGGAGATTCAAAGGACAACATTGATGGTTTTGTTTGGAACAGTTAGGTTTGAGACACCTACTAGACCATCCAGTAGCAAGGCAAGCCAGCACTAGTTATGTGGGTGTGAAGTCAGGAGAGATCTGGGCTGAGAAGATTATTTATATATACACCCTTCAGTACTGGGGTTTGAACTCAGGGCCTATACCTTGAAACATTCCACCTGTCCTTTCCTGTGATGGGTTTTTTTCGAGATAAGGTCTCAGGAATTATTTGCCTAGGCTGGCCTTGAACCACGATCCTCCTGATTTTTGTCTCCTAAGTAGCTAGGATTTGATTACAGGTGTAAGCCACTGGAGAAGATATATTTTTAAGTCTTTAAAACACAGGTATTTAATGCCCTGAAGGTGATGTTCGACTGGAGGCATTGGGTTATGTGGGGGATAACTCTGTGTGTGTGTGTGTGTGTGTTAAATGGGCAGGAACCAGAGATGCTAAATGTCCTGCAATGTAGGAGACAGTCTTCCATCATAAAGAGTTTACTGTTGTATCAAAGCTCCACTAAAGATAAAATTCCAACTAGGAAATTCCAACTGGGAAATGCCAACTGAAGGAGCAAGAGTAGAGAAGGAGAAATCCAAGGGAGGGTTGAATGCTGGAGTCCACCAACAGTCAGAGGCTGAAAGAACAGCAAGAAGCCAGAGACGTGGGAGGTAGCAAACCATTTCAACGAAAAATTATTTCTGAAATAGTAATTGTTAGTGACTCTGTGTCTTTTTTCATCCATTAACAGAAAAATCCATAGCATTTGTTGTCTCATAAAAAGATATACTGACTACGACAGCCCTGAAGCTCAACTTCTAAAAGATAAGCTGGTGTCTGCTAAGCACCACAAGAGGCACAAGTGGATGCAACTGAGACAGGAGGTTAGGGGTGCAGCCACACTGGCTGGGGAAGGCTAGCCTTGTGGCAGGACTTGAATGGGAACTTGTGCAAAAATTCCATAAGGATGGAAAGTAGACCATTTGTTCAGAAATGTCTCAAAGCAAATTTAAAAACAAGAGCTATAACACTGAGCATCTGGATTGATCCTGTGCTAAACATCACCCATCCACCACCTCACACAGTGTCCCTGGCAAGGTAGATGTTCTCTCTAATTTGCTGATGAGAAAACAGATTAAGGAACTCAACATGAGGCAGGGCTGGTTCTCAAACCCAGGTTGCCTTAGATACCAGAGCTGGTGCTGTTTTGACTAGATGTTTTGAATCCCCAGTCTAGTTTGAGTAGCCTGTAATAAACTCATCCAGATCAGTACCTACTGTCTGCTGTCTGTAATGGGAGATAAGACTACAAGAATCTCATAAAGTTACACTGGAGTGGTGTGGAACAACCAGCTCTGGGCTGATCCCACCCTGAGGAGGGCTGGGAGATGCAGATTTTTGCTGGTAGAAACAAAACAGCTGAAGGGTTTAGAACTGAACCTGAGCAATATGGGCACCATGTGCGCCAGCAGGTAGGAGCACAGTGTCAAAAAAACCATCACTGCACTATTTCAGTACAATCAGAGGGAGTCAAAGAGCATGGGGGGATGGACACGGGAAACCCACATTTATGGAACCCAGGCAAAGCGCCCTGTGTAAGGATTAAGCCTGTAGCTAAAGCATGTTGGCTAGGGCAAGATGTAAAAAACTCATCAAAGTTCCAGGAATACTTGCAACAACAGAACTTCAACACTATCCTCATCATGAGAATGTGACCATAGACAAGGAAGCAACAGTCCTCCTTAGATAGGCAGAAGTCCCATGGAAAGCAACTGTGATGCAGACTGACTGAAAGTGACACAGGAACTGTCTAAAAGGCTGCCATCATGTCAGGAGAGGACAGTGTATTGACATTGCCACAGCATGACTTTCTCACAGAACTGCAAACTCGCTGAGTCTTTTTATTAATAACTGAATATAAAAACCACAATCAACTGGAAGAAAAAAGTCCAGAGTGATGTGTGATTCATAGTTGTCTAGAGAAGACCATACGGACAAATCAAATTCTTGTCCAGCAGACAGAAGTCTAGAGATTTATTTCCTAGTTACTTTCACAAAGCTTAATATATTAAACAATAAAAGCTTTTCTCTAAAAAAGTCCCAGAGTTGGAAGCATGGCTCAAGCAGTAGAGAGTCTGCCTAGCAAGCACAGACCATGAGTTCAAATCGTAGTACTGCCAAAAAAGAAACAGTTAAAAAAGCCCTTTAAAACTAAAAATGGAGAGGTGCATTTTGAAAGGGTTTTTAATTTCTTAGCTTCAAGTTGGTTTTTATTCTTGCAGCACTGGGGATGGAACTCAGGGCCTCCTCACATGCTAAGCTCACATTCTACCACTGAGTTACACCCTATGTCCTTTAATTCATTTTTTTAAACAATGAAAATCCAATTTAGAATGGACTGGCACACAGCTCTATTTAATTTTAGTATGGTAAAGAACATCTTGCCTGAAGCTGCAAGTGTAAGAAGGGAGTGGACTTTTTTTCCTATGTTTTTTCAAGATACTGGGGATTGGACCCACAGTCTTGCACATGGTAGGCAAGCACTCTATCACTGAGTCACTCTCTCAACCACAATTCTCAGTTTTAGAGAAAATGTTTTTCATGTTTTCTCCTATTGCAAACCTGGCTTATAATTTCATGGAAGTCACAGGTATGAAAATCCTAACAGTAAGTCAGACCCATGTCAGCAGCAGACATACAGATGAAGCCCCCAAGGTAGCGCTCCACCTGTGTCTACGAGCGGATTGTCTGCAAAGTTGTGCGAGAACTGGGACGCTGTCCTTACCCGAGGCAACTGGTCCCACTGTTCTTTGTTCTTCATCTCTTCTTGCACTTCATGGATCCGCTTCAGCGACTCCAGACTTTCATCAAGTAAGAATGTTGTGTCATTTATCAGCATGTTTATATAGCGGACAAACTGCTTCCCAGAACTGAAAGTCAATGAGATGGTGCAAGGTCATACATTCAGTAAGTCCCACAGAAAGTGAATCTTCCCCAAGTGCCAACCGTGTCTGTCACCTGTGAGAGTTGTAACTTGGCACAACTCAAGTACAGTGGAGTTCAAGAATTACCAAGGTTTCTCCTTAGTTTTTTTTTTTTTTTTCAATTTTGAGCTCAGGGCCTAGTGTTCTAACTAGTCCTTTTGCTTTTATACTATTTTTTTCAGATAAAGTTTTGTTTTTTTGCATGGCTGAGTTGTGACTGTGATCTCCCATCTATGCCTCTTGAATAGCTGGAATATCAGGCATGCGTCACTACTGCCTGACTTGTTTGTTGAAATGGAATCTTGCTAACTTTTTGCTGGGGTGGCCTAGAACCTCGATTCTCTTGATCTCTACCTCCCAAAGTAACTGGGATTACAGGTGTGAGCCACTGGGCCCAGTGTTGGTTATTTTTGAGTCAGGGTCCAACTACACAGCCCAGGCTGGCCTCAGACTCATGATCCTTTTCCAGCTTCCCAAGTGCTGGGGTCATAGCTGTGTGCCAACACACTCAGCTTTGTTCTTTTTAATTAATTGTGATAAGCTCATTCTAGTGGTATGCTGGAGCTACCTCATATGGCTTGAGAGAGTCATGTGTTGAATATTCCAGAATGCTCTGAGCTGATTCCCTTGGCAGCTTCAATTTGGCAATAGTGAACATGTTCACATCATGGAAAACCAGCAAATGCTTACATTTTTCCCTGTAGAGAACAGGTTTACCAATATAACTCTGGCTCCTTTCCTCAGTGTGGCTAAGCAGAGAAAACACTTTCAGAGTGGGAAAGGAAATATGCTTACACTCACAAAGATACAAGAAAGCACAAATAATTGCCATACATAGCAGACAAAAGAACTACCGGTAAAGTTATTACTTATTCCAAAGAAAGATACACTGAAGAACTGGAACCTGTAATATTGATAAAGTGGGATATTAACTCACTTTATAGAATCTGAAGCTTCTAGTCTAAGGAATGCTCTGCAGATTGTTATAACGAAGGAACTTGGTGAACTGAAATAGCTTGATCTACCTGTTAGACTCTGAAACTGCCAGATTTGCAGAGAAGAGACAAGTTCCACTTCACAACCTGCAACTATGCAATTAGGAGGGAGCAAGCCCAGGCACGGGTGACACGCTCTTGCGAATAAGGACAGGAGGTCTCAATTTCAGGAACATGGGGAGTCCAGGACACCCACTTCCAAAGAGCACCAGGTAGATCAAGTTGGGGCCTAACTGGTCTTCAAGCTCAAGTAAGGCTTGATAGTTTAGGTAATTACTGTCCAGGTTTAAGCAGTGCCTGAAACTTCAGGCAGGAAGATGAAAAGTTCTTAATCACAGTTTAGGGACTGATCACAAAGAATAATTCTTCAAATGACAACTCTACTCTAGCTGCTTCTAAATCTAATGTCTTCCTAACATTGCTGACTCAAAGGCTTGATATCACATTCAAGAACATTGAAAAACGTCATTTCAGTCATTCTGACAGTTTCATTTAATAGTGTGTAATCAAAGAAAACACCAAAAAACGAATCTTCCTTTCTGTAAACCACTACCAAAGTATGTTGACAAATATGGAAGTCGGCAATATTTTTAAGCAAAGACATTGAGATAACCTGCCCATATTTAGCAGTACCTTGTGCCAACATGCAGAAGGCTGAGAGCAAGAAAACAGTCAAGAGGAACTCAGCTGCGGAAGCTTTTAGGTTGCAATACTACCTGGGATTTGCAAGAGAGCAAGCTGTGACATCAGGGGCCCAATACTCACTTGAACTCCTCCATAAAGGTGCCATGGTGAGCTATGTTTTGCCAGAGGCTCTTAAAAATGGTGCTAATGTGATAGCGAATGGTGAATTTGTCATAGAACTCACTGGTGGCTCCGGTATGTTCAACATCTAAAGAAGAAAGACAAACAGGGTAAGGGACATGTCCTCTCTTATCTTTCCAGATATGGTTATTGCCACGACAATGATACTGAAGGAACATAAATCTGTAAACTCAGACATCTTGTAACATTTCACAAGAAATCATGAGCTGGTTTTAAAGAGAACACGTTTACAACAAAGGCCTGGAATAGGCTGGGAAAACTGTTTGTCATCACTAGGACAGCGTCAACTCCTCAAGGACCAAAAGCTGAATTATCACCTGCCCCCCAGGGTTTATAGAAATTCTGTACCACTACAAATGCACATCCCTGAGTGGGAAAAGGTGGGTTAAATTTTACTGAAGGACACATTCCTATTAAATGTGTCTGCTACTTTAAATACTTTTTATAATGCCCATTTTCAAGCACATACTAAAGCAGAGAAAAGCACAGTGAATTCCCTATTGCTCTTTACCAATTACCAACCTCTCTGTACTTATTAAAATGGAACAAAAAGATCACACTTGGTTATTATGCAAATAGTTTATAGCAGGAGGAATTCCAGAATTCATAACAAATTCTAAGAAAAGGAAAAACTGTCAGGAAGACAGTTATGGCTTAAGAGATTAAAATAAGTTACCATTTTAACCTATCAAATTGGCAGACATTACAAAAATGACAAGACTGAGCAGAGGGGAAAAGTAGGCACACTACACATGTAGTGTGTGGCAATGAACAGCAATGTCATCTCTCTGAAGGTAAGTTGGCAAAATGAAGCACAAGCCACCAACATGCCCTTTTCCTCGGATCCCCAAGTTCCATTCAAGAAAACACAGAAGCATGTTCAAAGACTGATTCCCAAGTGATTCAACAAAGGCCACCCACCCCCACCAGGGCCTCCCACACACCAGGCAAATGTTCCACCTGTGAGCTACAATCCCCAGCCCTAGGGCAAAGTATTATTTACATTAGAGAAAAAATGTAAATAACCCAAATGTCCAAAAGAGAATATGAAAATGTTTTTGTGATACATTAAGTGAAAACCAAACATTATCAAACAAAAGTTAGCATTTGGGCCCAATCATAATTTTATTTATTTATTTACTTACTATACAGGTGCTCTACCACTTAAGCCACACCTCCAGCCCCCAATCATAGTTTTAAAAAAATATAATGATTGGAAAGATACATAGCAAAATGTTGAGAGGACTGGAGGTGTGGCTGAAGTGGCAGAATGCCTACTTTGCAAGTGTGAAGACCCAAGTTCAAACTTCAGTCCCACCAAAAAAAAAAAGTTAACAGACTGAGTGTAGAGATGGTCAGTGATTTCTATTTTCTTCTTGATATTTTCTGTATCCCAAAGTACACATTTTTTTATTACTAAAAGAGAAAATAATTACTTAATGATGAAAGAAAGAGTTAAGAAAATTAACACCTATCATGCTAAGATCTGAAAGTGCTTACATATAGTCATTAAGTATAGAAAACGATTTAAGTAGAGCCTGTAAGAGACAGAAACTGGGGGCTGGCATAGCACCTCCTGTCATCTGAAACTGCCCACAATATCTGGACTGTATAATTTAACAGAGGAAAAGCAACAATTGTTAACTTATTATCCATCAGTCTACATCTCTCAATTTTTTTTTTAAATCTGATTTGCTTCCTTGTTTTATTTTTTGCAGTGCTGGGGATCAAACCCAGGAACTTGAACATGCTAGGCTAGTGCTATAGTACTAAGCTGTACACCCTGACTGTATTTCTTTTTTCTTTTTGTAGTGATACTGGGGTTAAGAGGTGACTTTGGAGGGGCGTTGAAAATGAGATAAGTATGAGCTATTAACAGATCTTAGCACAATGTGACAGAAAAAGAGAACAGCAGAGTAAAGGCCTTGAGCAGGTAGCAGAATGAGTCAAAGGAGGCAGCAAGATGGTTTGCTCAGGTAGGTGTGGTGGGGAGTGAGGCTAGCAAGTCATCTTACTGCCTTCTTTGACTCATTCTGCTACCTGCTCAAGGCCTTTACTCCTGCTGTCCCCTTTTTTCTGTCACACATGTGTTAACAGCTCATACTCGTCTCATTTTCAATGCCCCTTCAAAGTCACCTCCTCAGAGACTTTCCCTCACTACCTTCCTAAAGTAGCCCATCTCCTCTCACACCTATGGCCTGCACCTCTCTGCCTTATCTGTCCAGTCTGCCATGTAATGCAGGGTTCTGGCATCTTTCCAGAGTGGGACCATCACAAGCATGTGCTTCATCAGCGATACAATCTACTCTGGCCGATGCCGGCCTTTCGCCTTTACATCAGCACCGGGAGAGGAGGAGTCTGGAAATCTTGCTTCATCAGTGCTCTTCTAGCCTTCAGAGTTTCATGGTTTTTTAAGGAACAGGTTGTTATACAAAATATAAAACTTATTTTAAAGCCTAGTTTTAAAACAATTCAAGCATAAACACTTCTGAAGTGAGAATACTATCTGCAGCATAAGGGGGAGCTTGTTCTGTCGAATGGCCTTGTATATCAACTCCCAGTTCATGTGTAAACAGCACACTGAACAGGGACAGGATCTAATCAGAAGACATGATGTGGTTGCTGGGCCCCTATGGTGGTGTCTGGGAGGCTGCCCTGCAGGGCCAACGAAGAGCAGCAGAGTAGGCAGGTGCACCTGTGCTCTCAGCCAACTGCCGAGGGTGCTGCCACTCCTGAGCTGTTACCTTCAGCAAGCCTCTTGACCTTTCTAAACTTTGGTTTCCTCATTTGCAAGATGTGGGTATTTATAGTACCCAACCTAAGGACTACTATGCAGATCAAGTGAATGGATTAGCAAGTATTCCATGAGTGGTGGCTATTATTAGGACAGTATCATCTATCTGTGACTACCGACATGGTCCAGGCCAGAGGGTACACTGCTCCATGCCAAAGGAAAAGAGAGAATAATACGCACCCCCAGCTTCTGGAACACTGCTAGCAGGCTCCACCAGCCCCACAGTGGTCTCAAAGGCCATAGGTTCAGCCCTGGTGCACAAGCACACACAGGCATACACACCCACACTCAGGTCTTATCTTTTAAGCCACAGTGAAAGGTCCAGGGCACCAACCAAATACAAAGCACATTTGACTACAAATGTTTTTGTTTTTACTACTGATAATATATGTTTATGGTAGAAAAATTAAGTCCAGATAGTAAAAACAAAAAATAAAGCTATTCATAATTCTATCATTCAAAAGTAACCAACTCACTGTTAATAGTATGGTATATGTCCTTTCCTGCTTTTTTCTTCTTTGGTTTTCCTTACTGTTGGCAGTACTGGGGTTTGATATCAGGGTCTCACTTGAGCCATGCCTCCAGCCCAATCTTCCTGTTTTGGTTTTCTATGTAGCTGGATGACAGGTGTACACCACTATACATGGCTTTATATTGGTTGAGGTAGGGTTTTGCTAACTCTTTTGCAAGGGCTGACCTTGAACCAAGATCCTCCTGATTTCAGCCTCCTGAGTAGTTTGGACTACAGGCCACTGAGCCCAACTTTCCATTTTTTCTAACTTACATATATGTACCAAAAGAGTGGACATATGTTCTCATTACTTGACATTTTCTTTACTTTTTGTCAGTTAACCACTGAATGTAAATAACATCATTTTTTATGGTTCATACAGGTTCACTGTATGGATAAACTGTGATTTACTTAACATATCTACAATTAGGTACTTGAAATATTTCACTCTACTGTACTACAGTGCTGTGTGGACGCACCATAAGCATGGGCACAGACTTGCAAGAGTGTCTATGGAATGAACCAGTGGAGAGATCTACAAGGAAGAATAGGTTTGCTGGATCAAGCTGTTGCCTTAGCTTCAAGCCCACTCTCCATGTGGGCTTTGTGATTCAGTGGCCCGTTAGGTCATCAGGAGAGGGCTACTGGAGATCTGGAGGAAAGCCAAGGGACATGGTAGGCCTTGTTCTTGTCAACCATGGGTCTCCATCCTGGCCACGACAGTTGGAGTTAACTCTAGCTGTGTCTAACACCCCTGAGCTACCAACTCTTCACACTCCCCAGCATCCAAGAACTGGCCAGCCAGTGTCCTTCCTCAGAGGTCTGAGACTAGGCTCTGTCCAAACCCTCATTCGTGTAGTCGGGTTCTAATAACCCCAGTCTCTTCCTTTGACCCCCCTACCCAAGGGAGAGAAGGCAGCTGCTTCCTCCAATGCACTGCTAACCCAAATTTTTTTTTTTTTTTTGGTAGTATAGGGTTTGAACTGAGGGCCTTCTGCTTACTAGGCAGGCACTTTACTACTCAAGCCATATCCCAAGTACTTTTTGCTTTAGTTACTTTTTTCAGGTATGGTCTCAGTGAGGGCCACCTTGTATGTTGATTCTACTACCCACAGCCTCCTGAATAGCTGGAATGACAGTTATGAACCACCATGCCAGTTAACCTGTTGAGATGGGGGGGCTCAAGCTAACTTTTTGCCTGGGCTGGTCTCAAACCAGGAACCTCCTAATCTCTGTCTCCAGAATAGCTGGGATTATAGATATGAGCCACCATACCTGGACCAATGTTCCTTTTTGACAATATAGTCTTCTAATATCCATACAACCAGTTCATTATATTAAATTTTCTCAATTAAAATTAACTAGTGGCTAGGGGCATGGCTCAAGAGATGAAGTGCTCACCTAGCAAGTGCAAGGCCATGAGTTTAACGCCAAATATTGCAAAAACAAAACAAAACACCATCAACAAAAAACTGGTATATTTTTGCTTCCTGATTGGGCCTTGAATGATATAAAAGATGTAAAAGAAATTTTAAGGCTTGGAAGAAGAGGGACAACAAAAAATTTAAAGCTCCTGATGCAGCAAACCAGTCTTCCAGAAAGGTTTTACTAATTTACATTTTCATGAGTTTCATAACACTAATTTTGCACACTGGCTACATTAAATAGGTTTTATAGGTTTGCTTCTTTTTCTCTCTCCCTCCCTTCTTTCCACCTTTGCTTTTGTTTCTTTTTTTGTGGGACCGGGGTTTGACTCAGATCTTTGAATGCAGGGCTTTGTGCTTTCAAAGCAGGCATTCTAGCATTTGAGCCACACCTTGAGTCTTCTCTGTTTTAGAGACAGGGTCTCATTATGTATCCCAGTCTTTCCTCAACTCCTAATCCTCCTGACTCTGGCTCTCCAGCGCTGGGATTATGAATGTGTGCAACTGTGCCTGGCTAGCTTATTTCTCTACAAGCATGTTAGTACTGGGTATTTCCAGTTTAATATGTTTAATAGGTGAAAAGCAGTACCTCATCATTATTTTAAGAAATACTAAATTGTCTTCAATTCTCCAAATCCTGCTATGTTTAAGACACCATTTTACCTGAATGACTTGTACTTATCCTTTATGATGGCTAAGAGATGAAATAGGACTTTCACCTAAGAAAGGACCTTTTATCCAGCAGTGCCAAAGAAAGAATGCTAACAAATATCCAAAGACATGTCTACTACTTGCTTTGGATTTAGAAGGCTATGAGTAGGTGGAAGAAGAGAGAAACTTTTATCAGATGTCACAAGATAATGGTGATAAAGCAAAAACGCAGGTAGGCAGACCATTCAGAAGCAGAAAGATAACAGCATGGGCCTCAAACAAGCAGGGGCATGCCTTAGTTGACAGGGAATGATAACTGTCTAAGAACACAGGGGAATCCTCAAAGCAGCCGTCCCTGTGAACAGCAAGGGGCTGTGCTCTGGTCCACCAGTGCTAAGAGCATGGTAAGCACATTCTATTGAATGCGAAAACATGTATGAGGCTCAATGAAGGGTAAGATGGACAGGACACAGTCTCCTGAGAAATATACAACTGTGGGAAAATGTTCCACTAGTGCAATCCTGTGCCTTTTGAGAAGACAGACAAATAGGTCTCATAGGAAACAGTTCAAAAGCCAAAATTTGGAATGTCCTTCAAGCATAAGAGGAGGAGCTCCTTGCACTGTGCCTTGCCTGCTGTCTGACATTGTCAACAGTGTAACCCAGCACCTAGAACAGTACCTTGCAACATGCTCAATGAATGAATGAGGGAAGACTCCCAGGGGCCCCCAGGAACCCTGATTCTACTGGCTTGACTGGGGTCCAGGAACAAGCTCCTATTCTGTACACACTGTGGACACTCCGGGTTACAGGAAGGTGTTATAAAACTAATGTTGGAAGTTTCAAGCTAAAATGACCCAGGTAATTTCACTCAGATTAAAATACCAATTTGGGCTTATTGATACCACACTGAGTCTGCTAAATCAAAGACCTGGAGATAGAATAGTCAATATGGTATTTCAAATACTCAGGGGGAAAAAAAGCCAATAGCACACACTTGTGGACAGTGGGTGGATTGGTAGGTTGCAATCATAACTGGGTGTCAGGCAACAGGTCTAGAGTAACTTCACTCCTAGGTTTTAGACAACCTTGCCACATGCCCCATACAGATCCAGGAACCTACCTGTATAGAACTTCATCAGGGAAGGTACCAGCAATTTGGTGGAGAGAGGATGGTTCTCAATCATCTCAAAAAACTTCTGGGTTCGTGGCTGAACAGCAGGGTTTGTCATAAACATGACTTCTACCAGTTTGGCCACTAGGTATGGATTTCGGATGTAGTTCTGGTTGCACAACATCACAACAAGGAACATCACAATATCCTGAGTACAGGGCTCATAAAGCACCTGAGGGGAGTATCTGAACAGAGGCAAGAAGGGCAAGCCGTGAGACTCTGAGAGACGGGATGCAAGTGTCACTAGATGGGGAAGGGAATTCAGGATAAGCAACCTAGGGGTAAAGATACTGGACTCAGGAGGTAGAGGCATAAGGATTACAAATTTGAGACTACATAAGAGATGCTCTGTTTCAAAAACACCAAACCCAAATGCCTTTACGGTTGTAGCATGTTACACTGACTTACTATACCTTAGAAAATAAACCAAAGCTACGATTGGGCAAATTTCACAAAAGATTTTCACTACCAAAACACTTTTTAAAACAAATTTCTAACGTAGTAATTCAATTTTTAAAAAACTGTTTTCCTTTAAGAAAACAGGAACTTTCAAATAGGTGAGTTGTGTCATTGTTGTTGGTTTTTGGACAGGGTCTCCCTATGTAGCCCAGGCTAGACTGGGATGAAGTTGTGATCATCCTACCTCAGCCTTCTGATTACAGCTGTGTGCCACCACGCCCAGCTCTCAAACAGGAGTTTTTATGTTACTATGCTTAGAACAGATTTTAAAATGGGACTTAAGCTGCTTAAATTCCAAGGCTGGTTTTATTCAACAAATAAACCAGGATCTTCAGTCACCCTTTACATTACTCACCATTCCAAGCTGAGGTGTGGCTCAAGTGGTAGAGCACTAGCCTAGCAAGCACAAGGACCTAGTTCAAACCCCAGTTCCACACATACACACAAAAAATGTACATTTTTTCACCATTCAAAATTCATGTGTCCCCACTGATTTGGGCTTGTCATCTGGCAGCTTTTATGACAGCAGTATACCTTGATCCATTTCATTTTGTCACTAAAAATCACCTATACAATAATTTTATATTTTTGTGCTGCCTGTTAGAACACTTCCACAATTTGGATTCTGTTACTGTTCACTTGCACTATGTTTACTTTTGAAAATAAGACTTCACATATCACTCCTTTCCCTTGCTAGTACTATTACAATATTATTATGGTGGCAAAGAATTGTAATTCTTCTAACCCACAATACTTTAAAAGTGAAATGTGAGTCTTTTAAAAAATTTAAAATTATTATTATTTTTTTGTAGTGCTGGGGATTGAATCCAGGGCCTCCCATCCATGTGCTAGACATTGATGTGAAGTTATAAACCAAGTAAGAATTTAAAAATTAATAAAAATCTCAAGTATCAGTTATAAGAGCAAACCATTTCTCTGAAGGTGTCTCCAGTTGTACAATAGAGACAAATTTTAGTACAAAACACAGATGTGGGTATTTCTGGCTTTTGGATGTTCACTGGGATATTTATAAACTGTTTGCTCCTTCTGTTTCTCAGAACACACACTCAACTCAATTTTCACAGAATACATTAGTAGCAGAACTGTTAATCCTGCTTCTGTCCTGGAGATATTATTGGGAAATGGCCTAGTGCCACAGATGGATTTATTTTCTCAGTCTTTAGGCAGCATTCAGTTAAAAACAAGCATATAAAACTTTAAGCCTAAAATGAAGGTTTGAACAGTTCATAATAGCACATATAAAAACATACTAGAACTATACAATATGTCAAAGGCACTTACTGTACAATAAAAAATAAGAATTCAGCAACGTCTTCTACATAAAACTCAGGCAATGCTGCAAATACCTTGGGGACATCAGAATTTAAAGGCAATGTGATGCTGTCAATGAGAAAATAGTGAAATTTACAAAAGGAAATCATGACACATCAAGCTACAATGAATATTATGCTAGAAGTATCCTATTTGGGGGAAAAAAACCCCTCATTGTATAACATAACTATGTACAAGGTATACAGACAAAGAAATCACAGCCAGAAATGAACAGAGAATAAAGGCGACAGTGTGTCAGTAGATATGCTACAGTGTGTGTGAGATGTTTTCCCTTGTCTTGACTTCTTGTTAAAGTTAATGTAATAAATAAAACTTGAAAGAAATAAAGGGTCACATTTGGTCATTGTGTGCAACTCAAACTAAGCTAAAAGAGCCACAAGTGTATTTTACTTAACTTTTCCTGCTTCTGTAGGGGGTAAGGGTCACCAACATTGGTAACCTAGAGACTTCACAATAAACATAAATTATAATAAATAAAAGTGATTGATGATTGATAATGTGATTGATAAAAGTGATTAATAATGTCCTTAGCTCACTCTCTGGATTGATTGGGCATTTTCCTAGATCCAATGTTAGAATGACCTAATATTGTGTCCCATTATTTAGCTTCCAATTTATAAATTTCCTTTGCAATTTTTTTTTTTTTTTTGGGTGGTGGTCGTACTGGCGTTTGAACTCAGGGCCTCAGGCTCACTAGGCAGGTGCTCTACCACCTAAGCCACTCCACTAGTCCTGTTTTGTGATGGGTTTTTCTCAAGATAACGTCTTGTGAACTATTTATTATGGCTGGCTTTGAACCATGATCCTCCTGATCTCTATGCCTCCCAAGTAGCTACAATTAGAGGTGAGAGCCACTGGTACCAGGCCTCTATTCATCCAATTTTTATAGCAAATTAAAAAAATACTCTGTCAAAGCTTAAAATAGGTGCTGATATTCACCTCTGACTGCAACTAATTACAGGTAAAAATTCTCATTAATGTAACTAAACCTAATAGTGTATAATGCGATCTGGAAAATGAGGAAGGAATTGGAACAGTGGAGACAACACAGCACAAGGAGGGAAGAGCGCACTCACTCAGGGTATGCGGGGTCCAGGATACGGAGCAGCAGCTGGATGACAAGGCCATAAAAGTTCAGACATCTCCTCAGGAGGCTCTCATCAAGTAAGCCAGCGTCAGCACAGGCCTTGCACCGTACCAGTTTCTGTGGAAGCAGGTGTGCCCCAACCCATAGATTAGTCAGGAACCAAGGCCCTGCTGTGTGACTGGGCAGGGAATGGGACCAGAAGATGGGAAATCTAGGTTTTAGAACTTCTTCTCTGACTAACTATAGGATGCTGTGTGTCTCAAAGTCTTTCTTCTTCCTGAGAAAAACAAATGGTATGCCATGCAAACCACTAAGCAGAGTGGTGCTTCAGAAGGTTAGTTATCACTGCCATATTTAGTAATTTGGCTGGGGGAGGGGTTGACAGGAGGCCCTTTAGATGTCAGGACAGTTAGTGGAAAAAAAGCCAGACAAACTGCATCTAAATTCCAGCACCACCACTTACAAGCTGCACACCAAGGCTACAATACCTACCTTAGAGGACTGTTATGAGAATGAGACACACATGCACACACACACTGACATTTATCACTGAAAACAGTGTATAGATCCCTTAAGACACATCTGTGGAATCTTGGTGGGGGTACAGATCCCAGGTAAGAACCCCTAGTTTATTTTGCATCTTGAAACAATATAGATTATTAGAAAACACACACACACACACACACACACACTGAAATCTTAATTTGGACCCAAAATCAGTTTTTAAGTATTATCCCATTAATCAATACAAAACATGACCAGCTAACATTCAGGTTTACAATTTAAATATAAGCATACAAAAAAATGCATGAATTTGCTATCTAAGCTTTCCTGTACAAGGTTAGCAACCATTTGTTTTTAGCCGAGTCGCACCAGCAGGAATATTTCCATCTATACTTAGGTTCTACATGATGGATCCTTTTCAATTATAAAGGAGAATGAGGGGAAAGGAAAGAGATCTTTCTACTAACACAGATTCACTTTGTCAGGTATCAGGAAAAGGCATGGCTGGAGGTGTGGGGGAGGATCTTGTACAGGGTAGGGTAAGGGTCGTGACATTAAACTGAGAATGAGAAAATGCACTTTGAAGTCAAGCTGTCACTACACATGCACATGCTGTGTAAATGATTAGGATTTAAATGATTACATATAGATATATGAAAGGTATTAAGTTTTAAAATGTCCTATTTTTATCTTGAGGTAAAAGAAAGAAAAACTAAGTACACTAAACTGCTCACTTAAGACATACTTTGGTAGGAAAATACCATTATAACTCTGTTCAGTATTATTTCAATTAACTATACAAACCTTCAGCTGAGTTTTACAGCGCTTCAGCATTTCGCGGTGTCTTGTTGCCAGTGGGGAATCTTTCCACTGGCTTTCGTTATTTTTCAAATCTTCCACAGTTCTGAAATCAAGGACTAAGAGTCAAATTAAGGAACACACCCAGATTCATTCACCTATTCATTTTGACCACCTCACTGATTCTCAGATTTTTTTTTTCACATTTAAGAATTTTTAAAGTCAGAGCATATCTTATAATCAATGGCAAGTTATGATTTAATTGGTACTAATTTTCTTCTTATTGATTCCTAAAATAACTATGTGTCTTAAAATTGTTAGCACTTTAGTATTGATGAGATATAATAATCTTCTTTGGAAGAATGTATACTATTCCCTTATTTTTCTGAGGAAAAATTTTCTCATGAAAATTTAACATTACTAGGACTACTCAATTACCAGAGGAAGAGGTGAGTTACTAATAGCACTTCCTTCTTTACAACTGTTGTTGCCTCTGCTTGGAGTTCTCTTCTCAGAAATCATCTTTGTTGCATGTTCCCTCACTTCCTCTACATATCTAATTAAACATCATGTGCTAGGGAGAGACCATGATCCCCATCACCTAACCTGCTGCCCATCTGAAAGACTGGCTTATCTAATGTGATCCCATACCCTATCTCTCATGACAATGTATAGAAAATTAGAGGCTGCTAAATGTCTAAACAACACACTACCCAGACTCCTTTGCTGCAAGACCTAGACCAAGAGATGGATCCTAACCAAAGGCAGAGTGACTACTGTCAGGATTCTTCTGGAAACATGGTGGCAGAGGGGTTTTGGCTAAGGCTGCAGCACAAGCTCCACCACTAGGCTGAAGCCTGAAACAACGTCTCTGTTAGGCCAAGTTCAAAGAACACCTCTTTCAGTCTTCTTTTCCAGCCATGTCAATGATAAGTCAATAAACCAAACAGCATCCTATGACAACCCCTGTTTTATTTGTCTCAGAGAAATTGGATTCTCTGGTGCACAAGTGGAACAGCAATGTGGCAGACAGAATAATGGCCCTTCAAAGATGTAACATTTCAATCCCTAGATGGAACCTGTGACTGTGTGGCCATACATGGCAAAAGGGACTTTGTAGCTGTGAGTAAGCATATCTGGGTGACCCAATGTCATCACAAAGGTCTTTCTAAGAGAAGGAGGGAGTATGCATGAGGGGAAATGTGATAATGGAAGAAGTGGTGAACGGAGGAGGAAATCTGGAAATACTCTGCTGTTGGTTTTGAAAACAGTGCAAGGGTTTCATGAGTCAAGGAAAGGAGGAAGCTTCCAGAAGCTGGAACAGGCAAGGAAACATATTTCCCCCACAGAGCTTCCTAAAGGAGCACAATCTTGATTTTTAAGAGTTCTGACCCCCCAGAACTACAGGACACAATTCATGTTGTTCGAGGATGCTAGGGTTGTAAGTCATTTGTTGCAGGAGTCATAGGAATGACCTAACACAGTGACCTGCACAGTTACTGGCACCAGGTAAGGTATAAGGTAATATCCCCTCAAGAAAAATGGGTTGCTGGGGTCAGTTCTTTAATTAGGCTGGTTTCAAAGTGGGGAAAATATAGTTATTATTTGGGGATGGAACACTGGTAGCCCAAAGCTAGAATCTAGAATAATGAGATGGAGTCTCATCTCTTTAATTACGCTAGAGAGCTTACAGAAAGAAATGACAAGCTTAGGCTATAAATTCTCACCTCAAGTAAAAGTCATGGAAGAAGCAGAGTGTGGTCCTACAGATTATCAAAGTAAAACACAGGCTAAATTCATACACCTTTTAGCCCTCCTGTCTGAAAATCAAGGCAAAGACCAGAATCCCAAGGGTTCAAATGAAGGAGTCTGGTGGAGGTAGCTCCCATCATAACCTCCCCTGAGGTGATCAGCTCAAAGGGTAATTAATGCCAGTTTTCCTTGGGTTCCACCTTCATTGCTTTCAGAACCACAACTACAGTCAGGTCAAGAGCAGCCCTGAGGAAAAATCATAAAATCAAATGCAGGAGAAGCTGATAGTTGAAGGGGAAAAGTATGGCAAGATTTGCTAATACATGTGTTAGTTTTCTATTGTTGCTGTGACAAGTTGCCACAGAAATGTAATTATTGTCTTAGAGTTGGGCAAGTAAGAAGTGGTCAGCAGAGATGTTCCTTCTTGAAGGCTGTGGGGGAGAATATGTTTCCTTGCTTTTCCCAGCTTCCAAGGTCACCTGCATTCCCTTAGCTTGTGACTCCAAGTCAGGCTGACCTCCGCTTCTGTCATCACACTCCTTCTTTCACTCTGACCCTCCTGCCTCCCTACAAAGACCCTTGTGATGACACTGGGCCCATCCAGATGATCCAACATCCTCTCCTCTCCCCATCTCAAGATCCTACTTAAATCTGCAAAGTGCATTTCCCATGTATAGTATTCACAAGTTCAGGGGACTAGCATGTGAACATCTCTGGGGTTTTTTGGTAGGTTTACCATGTATGTTCTGCTAGAAATGTGAGAATATAAGTGGGGTTATGTGTAAGAATGGATTCTGAGGATGTTTGTTCAGCAGAAGAAAATGCTAACGCACTTCTATGCAAGGCTAAATTCACTATCATGATTACTGATTATTCCTACCAAAGACTCTGGAGTCGATATTATCCTGAGTGAATGGAAGGGGTTCTAATCGTGCCCACCCAGCTAAGTAAAACCTGATGAATGAATAAGCTGTGATGAATCAAGCTGAGTTGTGAGGCATTCCTAGCTCACATGGTATCAGTCAGAGGAAGGAGTTAGAAACTTATGTGATTTGCTGAGAAAAGCTCCCTGGAAAACACACACACAATGCACAAAATTGTGTCCAGATGACACTTCTTATATCGCAGCACTGGTGAGGAGTACAGCAATATCTCTAGAATCACAACAGTGCTGCCAAGAAGGTGCAGACAGTGCCACTGAAATGGACCCACCAGAGTCAGCAGGAGTCATGGGCTCTCAGAATGGCAAAGCAGCATGAGGTGAAACAACTAGAGTGTAAAATCTGTAGAAGGCTCTCTCGAAAACTGATATTAAGGGGCTGGAAGAATGGCTCAGGTGGTAGGGGGCTGGACTAGCAAGCAAAAGGCCTTGAACTCAATCCCCAGTATGGAAAAAAATAAACAAACAAAAAAACCCCTGACATTAAAAGCTGGTAAGAATAGCAGGGGTAAGAGAGCCTTGGAAAAACAAGTAACAAATTTGATGTGAATGACATGCATGGATATTGCAATCAACAACACAGAAAGCTCATTCTTTTCAGATCCAGAAGCAACATTTACTAATGCAAGTACTAGGCTATAAAGCAATTCCCAATAAATTTCAAAAGACACAAATCACACAGGATATACCTCTGCCACAGTGGAATTTAGTTTGAAGGCAATAACAAAAGACACATGCCCTAAAAAAATCTAGACTTCAAACAACACATTCTTAAGTAGCTAAGAAGTAAAAAAATAAAAATTACAAAGCATTTTGAACAAAATAAGACATGTCATACCATAAATGAGGGATGTAATTAAAGCCATGCATACAGGAAAACTAAACAGCCTTAAATGCATACGTAAGAGACGCCTGAAAAGGAAAGATGTTAAGTATCCATCTCAAGAGGTAATAGGGGTCTGGTGGAGTGGATCAAGAGGGAGAACACCCATTTAGCAAAAGGGTGAGCCCCTGAGTTCAAACCCCAGCACCACAAAATAACTAACTAACTAACTAACTAACTAAATAAATAAATAAAAAGAGGAACTAGGAAGCATCGATAAAAAGGAAAAGTAAAAGAAAACCAAAGTAAATTTTAAAGCTCCCGCAACAGTAAAGCGATGAAGAGAACATTTTGAAACTTTCATTCAAAAACTGACACAAAAACTGAAATGAAAACCTAAATAGTCTTAAATCTGTAATTAAAACTTTCCTCACACTGGAAACTAAAGCCTGACAGTTTCCTCACTGAATTGTTCCAGGGAGTTAAGGAAGATGTAACATAATCCTTATACAACGAACTCTTACAGAGATTATTAAAAAGGGAACACTCCTGCTTCTTTCTATGAGGTAAGCATGACCTTGATACGAAAATCTGAGAAGCACTTAACAAGAAATGAAAATTATAGGTCAATCTTTTTTTTGAGCAGACTCAAAGTCCTAAACAGAATATTAGCCAATTAAATATCTAATGAGATATAAAAACAATATAAAAGTTGAGTTTATTCGAGAACTGAAAATTGGTTTGATATCAGAAAACCAACTGATGGAATGCAGCCACATTAAGAGAATAAAGGAGGAAAAACATCTAACATCCACAACAGATATGAATTTCCTTGATCTGAAAAGAGGATATAAAAAAGGATCCCTCCCCCACTGACTGAAAGGATGAATTTCAAGAAGGCTCCAATAGTGCCCTCTTACTGGCAGTTTCATTTTCCATATTTCCAGTTACCTGGAGTCAATCACGGTCAGTTAGCACAACACAGCAAGACTGAGGGACAGGGAGAAGGAAAGAGAGTCCTAGACCACGTTCACATAACTTTTATTACAGTATGTATTATTATAACTGCTCTATCTTATTATTAGCTACTGTTGTTAATATCTTACACTGTGCTGAATTTATAAATTATACTTCATCATAGGTATATGTTTATTCATTCATTCATTCATTCATTCATTTATTGGGTGGTACTGGGGTTTGAATTTAGGACCTCACACCTTTTAGGCAGGAGTTCTACCACTTGAGCCACTCTCCCAGCAGGTATATATTTATTAAAAAACCAAACACATAGTACACATAGGGTTTGGTGGTACCCATGATTTTAGGCATCCACTGGGGTTTTAGAACATATCCCTGAGGATAAAGGGGGACTACCGTATTTCTATTCCACACTGTACAAAATTATAGCCAGTGTACTAAGACATAAAAGCAAAGAAAACTGTCACTATTTACGGACATGATTACATATAGAAAGAAGTCTTGAAGCATCTGTACGTAATGGAATAAGTAATTTTAGAAAGGTAGATATAAAGTTGTATGTGTGCCGATGGGGCAGTTTTTCTCTCCCATCCAGACTAGACCAAAAAGTCCAAGTGGCTTCTCTATTACTACTTTAAATGGCCTGTTTAAAAATGTCTGCGTCCATGCTCCTGTGATGGTCATTTCTTTGGAGGTGCTGGTGCACAGGAAGAAATGCTTAGGTTATCAAAGAAGTGCTACTGATGGGCTGGAAACTGAGGCTGCTATTTGGCCATTTGGGCCCTTGATGCACAAACCAAAGGTGAATGATGTGCTGGCAGGAATGAATGACCTTTATTATCAGGAGAAAGTCTGGTTGCTGTTTAGCAGACCAGGGAGAAAGGAGTACGTCTAGAAGCCAGGGTATCCTTGAAAGTGCCTCATGGGAAAACCATGCCCAGGGGAAAAGTGAAGGCAAGTTGTAGTAAACACATAGAAAAGACGCCAGGGGCTCAGAACTCCAGAAATCAAGTGTCCTCTGGACACTAAGGACCATGGGCACGGTAGATGAGGCATACAGTACACTGTGACGTACAAATCCCACATTCTGATCTACTGGTCACAACGGAACTGCCTCCTCACGAGAGCAAGCAGTAAGGACAATCCCAGGCGCAGCATCGCGGCTCATACCTGTTGAGCTCCCGGATGGCCCGGAGTCTGCGGATATAGCGACGGCAACTAGGCAGAATAGAGAGGTGGTGAGCGTGCAGGGTGAGAAAGAAGCATTCCGTGGGGAATTTTGGCTCAGAAAATGGGGGCTGATCTCCATCTAGGAAAAATAACACGATTCCTATGTAAAATCTACTGCAAGTCTAAATCAAAGAAAAAGCTCAATTATAGAAGAAGAATACACTGGAGCTTTCCAGAAATTTAAGCATGTACAAACTTTTTTTTTAAGATTTTTTTTTTAAGCATGCATAAACTTAAGCGACATTCTAAGAGGAAGCGAATTCCTGTGAGCTTCATTTAATGACCTGGTATCCTGCGTAAGTACCATGCACTGACTGACTGCACCACTGGAGCTCTCTGACCAGCCATCCAGTTTCATCTGATTAAATGCTGACACAGACATCCACCAACAATCTTTTACGATGTGTCTTTCTGATGTATCTTACAAAACCATCTCCATTTTCAATATGTAAATATCATTGAAATATCAAAATGGTATTAGGCCAAATTAAGAAATTACAGACATTTCCTTGCATCTTTGTGATTTCTAATTTTTATCTATTAAAAATAGTACTGTGGGGTGTGGTGGCTCATGTCTGTAATCCCAGCTACTTGGGAGGTGGAGACAGAAGGATTGTAGTTTGGGCCAGCTCAAGCAAAAAAATAAAGATAAAAAGTTAGTAAAACCTTATCTCTAAGAGCAAGCTGGGCATGGTAGGGCATGCCTGCAGTCCCAGCCATGTGGGACATATAGATAGGGGATCATACTCCAAGGCTGACCTGAGGAAAAAGCGTAAGACAACAAAAGGGCTGGAGGCATGGCTCAAGTGGTAGAAGGCTTGACTGGCAACCTCAGGGCTGAATCTAATGTCCAATACTGAAGGGGGAAAAAGAGAGCACTGCTAGGAGGAACTAGGCGCAGAAAATTGCTCCCCTTCTGCCCCTGCTTTGGGAACATACTCTAGGAACTGGAATCACTGAGGGTGACTACCTGACATTTAATTACAATGTGTAATGATCAGATAAGGGTAACTGGAACGTCTGTCTCAAACACTTAGCATGTCTTTGTATCGGGAGCATTCAAAATCCTCTCACCGCTATTTGGAAATATGTAATTAATTGCTGTTGACCACCGTTATCCCACGGTGCTAAAGAACATTAAAAGTTGTTTCTCCTGTAGGCCAGTGACTCAGAGGCTGAGGCAGGGCTCCTCCAGTCCAGTAGTTTGAGACCAGAGTGGGCTCACATTCCCTCCTTTCATTTCACACATCAATTTGTTTCACTCTCTCACAGGTTATGCTTCATATTAAGACACACGCATATTATCTCTGGTGATGTTTCATTTCTTAAGTTCTAAGTTTCTCTCTTCACAGCTGGGCCAAATCCACCATTTATTTTTCTAATTTTTTTTGTTTTTTGAAAAAATTAATGTTTAATCTTTTGACTCTTTTGGAGCTTATTTATCAACAAGGTATGATTCTAAGATTAAGTTAACAGCCAGTCATTCAAATGATAGGCAGAGCCTGACCAACTGTTCATTGGATACTTAGTTCTTTTTTGTATTTGAGACAGGATCTTGCTATGTAGTCCAGTCTGGCCTTGAACTTGAAATCTCCCTGACTCAGGTCTCCCAAAAACTGGGATTATAGAAGGTACCACATAGCTCAGATACTTAGTTCTTAACAATTTAATCATTTTTCTGGAATATGTACATCTGATCATAATATGCTGCCACTGCCAGGTAAGTGCAGATTCATCCTATTACATGGAAAAATTTTGTAATGTTTAAAAAAAAATGCCATGGAACTTTGATGTCTGGTATTACATAATATATTTTATGTTACCAATAGAATAATTAACCTCATCGTACCTTCAAAATATTCCTACTGTTAAATCATGCATTCATCAGCATGAAATATTTCCAAGAGAATTTTTTGGCACAGAGAATTTATATGGCACAGTACATATAAATTCTAAAGAGTAACTGAGTTGCTGCTATCATTTTAATTTTCTTATTTAAAAAAAAATTCCCAGCAGTGTATTTCCATCATTTGTGCTATGAATGCTTTGGCTAATTCAAAGAAAAACTTTTACTGCATTAAAATCCACTGTGTACTCGCTCACAAATTCATCCAGATGAGGTTGGTGCTCCATGACCTGGCAATGAGCGATTTACTCACAGAGCTCAGTCAGCCAGTCATTCACATCCTCCATGGTCGCATTCACGCGGGTCTCGTCGTTTGGGAGAGTAATACGACATCTTGGGTGGAATATGTACGTGGGATCAACAGTTTCTAACTTGATTTTTGTACTTAGCTGCTGCAGTACCCAAAGGAAATTAAGCATAAATCCATCTGTAGATACCAATCTATCATCTGTCTGTGAAGTATAGAGAAAAACATTTAAAATAATTATTTAAATATAAATTTTGGCACAGCTATCTAGGAAAGCAGACTAAATATTCAATCGAGACCACATCCTAAAGTCAAGGAGAGAACATGTGTGGTGGCCACTGTCACTCTACTAGTGGGTGTTAATCAACTCAGAGGAGCCTTCTCTCCCTGAACCTCCATGAAGAAAGACCACAACAGTGAGCAAAGAGACAATTCACATGTCACAGAAGAGGAAATGAAGGTCAGAGGATGCATGTGATTTTGACCCAAAGCATCAAAATTGCTAAGTAGAAACAAATAAATACTATATTCTTTTTATTTCCCCTCAAAAACATCAGAACTAGTTCTACTTGTTAGTAAGTGACACAGCTGCTCTAGCTGACAGAATTATCATAGTCCTGTATTGACAATTTAACAATTGTAAGATGACAAACAACACCACTTTAGTGATCACTACGTACCTAACACTATTACAACAGCTTTACATATGATTACCACAATTAGCAGATGAGAAGCAGGGGCACAGATGTAACTCAGGTCCCACTTTTAGTAAACCACCAGGTCTGTGCTCTTCTCTACATTTTTTTTGCTTGTGAGTCACATCATTTATTATTAATAACCTAGGAAGAATGCTCTTTTGGCTTTTCCACTTACACACACAACCCTACTCCAGCTTCTCTTACCAGTGACCTGGTCAACTGGCCTCCTTGGGTCTGCTCCTGACCCTATTCTCCACACAGCAGCTTCTGTGCTCTCCTTGTTGACAACTTTCCAGTGGGTTCCCACTGAAGTCCTCATATGTAAACCTAACCTGACACAGTTCCTGTACTGCTTGACCCCATGGCTACCATTCTCTTTCTTGTCCTCTTCCCCAGCCACAAAAGCATGTTGGGCTTGTGCCAGAGCTGCTTCATGGCCACACTGATGCATACATATAGGAGGCTCTTTTTTCAGTCTTGCAATGACTGGCTCTTTTCTCACTAGTCCGGGCTTTGATCAAGTGTCAGCTCCTCTGAGAGGCATCACTGCTACCTGATAAAAATTACTACTCTGCCATCTTTTTGGAACTCCATGATTACTCTTAAGTCCTTCACTTTGTTTGATTTTCTTCATAGATTTCATTATGATCTGAAATAGTGTCCTTATGTATCTACTCCTTGACCCTAGAGAAAACAGACTCCACAAAAGCAGGAAGCTTGCCTGTCCTGTCAACACTGTCTTCCTGATTTCCAGAGTAAGGCTGGGTGGTGCTGAGGAAGTATGTGCTAGAAAGGATTTGATGAATATCTGAAAGCATGTTTGGAAATCTTACCTGCATCTGTGCTTTCTTCATATTGGCATTGACGACAGCTGCCATGTAACCAAGGGCAGCCTCACGGGTTTCACCATTCAACAAAATACTGTGTAGAATCTTGAAAAGCTCTTGCTGAATGATTTTTAGAAAGAAGACAAACATTTAACTTCATTTGAATGGTATTTCTTTTTGATTTCAAGACTATCTGCCCACTTTCCATGTTCTCTCTTCTCCCATTCTGCTCACTGAGGAAAGCTGAGTACAGAAGGAGTACGAGAAAGAGGTGCACACAACCAGGTGGAGATAATGAGCAGAAAAGCAGTATGTGGGGTGGAGGAGGTGAGCAGTCATGGTTTTAATAAAATCGCCTTCATAACTTCCTTTCCATGACCAACATTACCTTCTGATCACCAAACTTACTTTGATTACACAAGCCTAGAATTTCTTTATTTTTATGTTTGAGAACTGAAGTCATGTGACTCTGCACTTGGGATAGTGAGTCAGCACAGGGCTTGTGCACGTGCAGTTCTTACCCTCATACTTTAAACTGCTATGGGCAAACGGAAGAGAAAGCACGGCCAGCCACTAAACATAGAGCTAGTCACAAGTAGTGCTACATAAAAGATGCAGCCCAGCATACAAGACAGGGGAAACTGGGAATGTAGCTTAGTGGTGGACCACTTAACTTGCATTCATGAGGCCCTGGGTTTGATACCCAGCATAGGTTAAAAAAAAGACAGAAAATGGGTCATTCCTATGGTTTTTAAAAAAATATTGAATTGACTTTATTGGCATTTGTGAATTGGGCAGCATCCCGTCTATGAGAAAGAGAAGTTCCTTAGCAACAGTTGCCTTTGCCTCACTTTTTGGATTCTTTTCTGAATACCTACCCTTCCCAACTCCAAGTAATGCTGCAAGGATTGGCTAACCACACGGCTGTTTTCCAGGGTAATGGCAGGCCCTGAGAAATATTTTTCAACCACTTTAGCCTGGAGAGAGAAGGAAAATTTTTAATCAGCACATAGTACACAGCTGGGAAGGATCTGGACAAAAGAGTAGCAAATGTCAATGGCCACTGTACTTACATCATCTTCTGCAAAGACTGAGAAGCTAAAGAAGGCCCCCAAATAAGACAGTCTCTGCAGCTCCCGCCCTGAGCCAGGGCTTAAGGACTTCGGCATCCACAAGGGCAAAGAGGCAACCTAGGCACAACAGGGAAGAGGCCAGTCAAGCGGCTGAGAAGGTCAGAAAGGGAGGATGCTCAGGAGATTCCAGCCACTAGCACAATGGCTGACATCAAAATCCACAACACAAGGCACAAACCCGTCAGGAGCCCTGGTGTTGCTTTCTCACCTCCAACAGGGAAACCCTCAAACTCCTCTAACATACTCCTAAGATACTCTGAGTTTTGTGGTTCAGGATACTCCGGTGATGTTCAAGGGAGCCGTTCTCGCACTCCCCAAAGAACTCCACTACGTCTTCCCAAGGCATTTGTTATTTATAGAAGGAAAGTTAGAAGGTTCATTGTGGAAATACCATACCTAACAGCAGCGGAACAGCTGAAAGCCTCTGACAGGTTACCTCTACCTACATCCAAGTGTCTTCAAGAGAGGTCTTTTAGCTGCTACTGCTTAAGGAAGGAACAGCTTCTGCAGTGTGACAGGTTCACAGGCAATGTGCAAGGTCATTGAGTAGGCACTTACCAAATTGCACACAGGGTGTGTCTTCCCAAACTTGGTTTCACAGAGTTCACCTAATGCCTAAAAACAGAATCAGAAAGAATTACTTTAGTGAGGGCACCTGTCAGGCAAGTTATGAGGTCCTGAGTTAAAAAAAAAAACTACATACAGAATCACTTCAGTGTATAACATTTCAAACTGCTGCCATGTGAAACAGCAAGGGACAGCTTTAACTGCTGCTATAAAGATACCTGCACTGTCTCTTTGATGATATCAGTCTTCTGATAAAACAATAATAAACTAATATGTGTAAAGAATGCCTATAATCCCAGCACTGGGGATCCTGAAGTAGGAGGACCTCAAGTTTTAGGCCAGCTTGTGCTATATAGCAAGTTCAAGACCAGCCTGAGCTACATAGTGAAATGCTGTCTCAAAAAAAAGAAAGAAAGAAAGAAAGAAAGAAAGAAAGAAAGAAAGAATTGATACATTAGCATTATATATATAAAACCCTCCAAATCAAACAGGAACACAAGCCAAAACTAGAAATCACACACTTATATTATCAGACATAACTCCTATTGATATTCTAATTTAATAGCTTTCCAAAAATATTTTTGTGCATATATACAGAGAAATAAAGGTGTGTATTTGTACCAAAAAAAAAAAAAAATGTGTTTTCACTTTAATGTGTTTCCATGTCACAAAGATTTGTTCCATAAATTTTAGGTGGCTACTCTTCCTATAGTTAGGATTCAACATGTTATTAAGCTGGGAAAGGTAGTGAGTGCTTGTAATCCCAGCACTCAGGAGGGAGTTCAAGGCCAATCTGTATAATATACTGAGACCCCCATCTCAAAAACAAAACAAAACAAAACAAAAATAAGCTATCAAATTCAGAAAGAAATTGAAAGCATGACATGGTTTCAAGGTATTTGTGATTTTAACACTTTTCTTCAGTGTTTCAGTAATTCTCACGTTTGAGAATTACAATAAATACTTTTTATAGAAATAAACACAGGTTAATTTATTGCAATCAAATAATACTGGGTATGAATTTAAGAAACACAGATCCAGAAGTTACTAAACAGCAAGAAAGCTTTTGAGTAGATGTGTTCAAGTACTGATGCGGTTTAATAATTAGATAATCCCTACTTAATAAACTAACATTCATGGTGGCAACTCGCCTATGGTCTAGCACCTGAGGCAGAAGGAGCTCAAGTTGGAACCACTCTGAGGCACAGGGAGTAACTGAGAATTTCAAGCTCTCATTATCTCGTGCAAGACACTGAACACTTTGCTGCATGATAGATCACAGAAGAAGCCTTGGGAAATCCTAATGCTATGCTGGGCTCCTGCAATTTGAACCGCAAATGCTGGCATTTTAATTAATTTTATTATTATTAACAAATAATTATAATTATATTAATAATATTGGGTTCTGGGGGGTCACAATCTCATTCTTGCCCAGGCTGGCCTTGAACTCTCCATCCTCCTGCCTCAGCCTCCCAAGTGCTGGGGTTACAGGTGTGTGTCACCATACCTGGTGACATCAGTGTTTTTTAAAGCACCCCAGGTGATTCCAACATATGACATAATAGGGTTCACTACCTAAAGAATAACCCCAATTATTTCTGATTTAGTCCCAGCTTCCCATCTCTCATTATTGTACAAGCATCAGTAATAGCTAAAAATAAAATGACTGCCTACCACAATGGAAGCTTTTGTCTTTTGATATTTGACACTACCAGTTTCACACTGAAACTAAGCTAATTCAAATCACAAGCAAAAAGCCTGCAATTCCACAAGGAATATTTACATAATACAGTTATCATCAGCGTGAACTGAGATATCTCATGCCTGAACTAAATCAGATTATTCCACTTCCTGCTCTGTCTGCCTCAGACTGAACAAGGCATGAGGACTAACATATCTTATTAGGAGCCTTTAAAAATTCTTGTTAAAAGTAACAATTCCTATCTCACTGTTTCATTTCCCAGTGTTATCTCTAACTTTTAGCCTGTTAGTGTTGTGACCATTTACCACAGTGTAGTTACCTAACTGTTTTGCTGGATAGGACTTTTGTAGTGCAAAAGTCAGAGCATCCTGAGGGAAAGAACCTCGACACAAGCTCCTGTGACCCAGGAGTGAGCACAGGACAGATCCCCAGTAAGCAATGAGTTAATGGAACCAAACCAGCAGAATGAGTCCAAGATATACAGTTAAAAAAAATAGTAAAAACTTCACTGTGGTCTCAACTTACACAAGGTTGTATAAATGTAGAGTAAACTAAGTTCATGTTTTAATACTTTTTTCCTTGATATTTCTAGAAGAAAAAATATTTAGGGATATTTCAAAAAATATTCTCCCTAAATACCAAAGCAACAAAATAAAAACAGAAAAGAGCCTCTTATTTTAATCCTGGTTCCAGTGTTTCTATGAAAAAAATGGAATTATTCCATGAGAACCCAGCTGAAGGGTCTTAAGGCTTTACGTGCCTTAAGGGGCTAAGCAGTTCTCCAAGTATGAAGTCTGCAGATGATACATGTGGCCTAACTTAGAGAAGTATTCTGAGATTTTTCTATACAAAGTCAACACACAAAGATAAATTGTATTACTTTTCTTAGTATAACTCTGCCTTTTTACTTGCAATGTAAGTTTTTTCTTTTAAATAATAAAATTTTATCCCAGCTGGGCATGGTAGCACACACTGGTAATTCCAGCACATGGGAGGCTGAGGCAGAAAGATTAGAAGTTCAAAGTTCAAAGCAAGACTCTACCTCAAAAGAGAAAAAAAAATTAAATTCCAAGTTTATTGTGCATGTTTGGAGACCAGGAAGGACGCTGCCAGGAACCCCGTGCCTGGCGCGGTGCACCCACATCAGTGCTCACACATGGCTGTCTAGCACAGCGAGTGGTGGGACATGTACCAAGTTGCTGTCTTCACTCGGGCATCTTACCACACACCACACCCTCCGCATGGCCACCACAATGATTTCATGTTTTAAACTTGAACCCACAGTTGATCATAGATGTGAAAGAAAAGTGTACGTTCAAATAACCGGAAAGAAAAACATGCATCAAGTGTGTTAAAAGAGTGACATTTACCATGAGGGGGTACTTGAAGTAGTCATTATCGAGGGAGCACTCTTTGGCAGCAAGAGCCAGGCCTTGTAAAATGGGAATGAAGATCTGTAAGAAAAAACAAAATCACAAATAAAAGAGAAATTAACAACAGGATCAAAATGTGCAGGCATTCCCACTCCTCCTCCACAGAGAAGCTTTTCTGCATGTAAAGATTCAACCAGCGTGCTGGTCTATCCACTGCTGAGCACGCCCATAAAGTAATACAGATGAACTTTCCAGAAGTGAGAGGCTGTGATGAACTCAGGCAGGACTCCCAGTAACTCACCAAAAGCCCACAATCATGGAGCCAGCGCGAGACCCTGCCGGGGCCTCGGCTCTAATCGACTAATTGCTGCACATCTCAGCAGCGAAATTCTTGTTTACCAAGCATCTGTAAACTGCAAGGAGGTCAGGCCAAATAGTCTGACTTTTCCTCAACTCTACCAATATTTTTTCAAAAGTCTCCCCATTCAATACATTGAGCATTTAAACTGAAGAGAGAACTTTTGTAGGGAGGCCTTCCCTCCACGACTAGTGTAATTAACACAACACCACGAGATGGAGGCTGAGGGCACTCAATGTACTTTCACAAGCGTATTCTGAACACTGGGTGACACTGTGTGAGACCCGCCAGAACACAATGCATTCACTGATGCACGTTTCTTCAGGGAGCTGGCTGGGATTCAAGACTAATCACATCAAGCACAAAATGTAAACAGCTGCCGAGTATCTGAGTTACAAGTTTTAAAGGGAGATTACTATGAAACCACTAGAAAAACCTGAAAAATTCCCTACCCTAGTGATTTCACCCCATCCTTAAAAAAGGACCAAAAATTGCGCTTCTGGTGACACGTATCTGTGGGGTGTTTTGAGACATCAGCACAGCTCAGGGGAACATTCTAGTCTCTGTACCTCAAACAACCAGGGTAGAAGTAATGTGCTTTCATGAGCTAGCTAAAAACGGAGACGGAATGCTTGGTGCGGTGAGAGGAATGCCAAAACTGCAATCAAGAAGAAAAGGCAAACAGAGGTTCCATAACCCCGGAATAAATTTCACAATTGGTCACCTAGAAAAATGCCTAAATATGTTTTCAGAAACGCTATGAACATCTTTACTCTTTCCAGTAGAGACTTCCCCTCAGTCACATAAGGGCTTGATTTATAAAAAACAAAAGATACAGAGTATTTTTCAAATGTCAACCATTATAGTATTTATATAATACAAACTAAAATACAATGTAGATAAATGATATATAATATAAACATTATATAAGTATGTAGGCAATTCTTTTAGTTTAGGAATTCTCTTATTTTCACATCAAAACCATCCAGCTCTAGAAAAACATGCCACAGCTACTTCTTGTCCAATGCTAAATTCTGGCTGCTATTTGCATCTGTTTAGCTGCCTGTGACAATCTCTCAAGCATTAAAAGCGGGCAGAGGGCTAGGCAAGTGGTTCAAGGGATGGAGCCCCTGCTTTGTAAGCACAAAGCCCTGAGTTCAAACCTCAGAACTACCAAAAGAAAAAACAAAAAAGAGGTAGAAATTTCAGTCAGAGATTTAGTAATTCACATTTGCCACACTTGTGAAAAGGTAAAATGCTATTTATATGTTCAGCAGCTCCACTTAACTTATCAGTTCTCTTCAGATTAAGACTCCCAGGAAAATAACACAATGTATACTCAAGCCCAAATGACTGAAAAGGTACCAGAATTCTGTGATTAAAAATAAACAGGTCTGTGGTAATCATACAACACCATGACTTGATTATATGCCATTGAACTGCGCACTTTAAAATAGTAGATTTGGACTAGCAGAGAGGCTAAAATGGTAGAGAGCCTGCCTAGCAAGTATGAGGCCCTGACTTCAAACCCCAGTGATGCCAAAAAAATAAGTAAAATAAAATGGTGTGATGATCCACGCCTGCAATCCCAGCTACTTGGGAGATGTAGGTAGAGGGATTACAGTTCGAGACCAGCCTGAGTAAAGGAAAAAAGAAAACAAAAGAGAAAGTTGGTGAGACTCCATCTCAACAAACAAGCTGGGTATGGTGGCTCAAGTCTGTAATGCCAGCTACTTGGAAGGCATGGGTAAGATGATTGTGGTCTGAGGTCAGTCCAGGCAAAAAACACAAAACCCTATCTGAAAAATGACTAAAGCAAAAAGGGCTGGAGGCGTGGTTCAAGTAGTAGAGTAGTAGCCTGGCAAGTACAAGGCCCCGAATTCAAACTCCAGTACCAAAAAAATAAAAAAGGTGAATTTCATGTTATGTGAAATTTACTTCAAATACAAACACCAAAGAGGTCATATCATAACCACTATGTAAGTTTGTTTATAAATAAAATAGGGATAATAGGCTTCTTTCAGTTGATTACTGAGCTGATTTTATACAATTAAAGCAACTCTGGGTTTCTGAAATGATGCTCTTTCTGATAAGAAAAGTCTTCTAATTGATGCCATTACACTCCTTAAACCTCCCAGACAGTTAAAGCTTTCATCAGCGCTCACTCATCTTTGTAAAGAAAGCTCACTCTGCTGCTCATAATAATTCTGTAAGTCAACAAGACCACGATGACAATGAAGATAGCAGTCAAAGAATTCTAGAGATGATGCATAACATGAACTGGAGTTTTTATTCGTGAGCCCTGGATTCGCCTCTTAAAATATTTTGAAGATTGCTGAAAATGCAATTTCTGAGAAGTCAAAGGTCTTAAATCAATAGCTATAAATAACAGCATATATAAAAGAGTTTAAAAAATATGCCAATTATAGCAACTGCCTCTATTGAAAGGATGATAGAGTAGATTACAAGAAATGTCATAAAAAATATTTTCTTCAGCTGGGCGCCGGTGGCTCACACCTGTAATCTCAGCTAGTAAAGAGGCAGAGATCAGGAAGATCATGGTTCGAAGTCAGCCCTGGCAAACAGTTCACAAGACCCTATCTCGAACTATACCCTTCACAAAAAAGCTCTGCTGGAGTGGCTCAAGGTGTAGGCCCTTAGTTCAAACCCCAGTACTGCAAAAAAACAAAAAAACAACAAAAAAACCTGAACGAATAAAAATAAGAATCTTTTCTTCTAGGGAAACAGCCTGTGTGTACACTGCTGAGGCCAAATGTGCACTTTACAACAGGGGGACCACACTGAGCAAATGAATCCTGCAACCTGATCTCACCTTGTGGAAAATTTAAGACCAAGTACTCAAACAGCTAACATCTATCTGCATTTTCACTTGACTTTGCACAACGGGATATCAAAAATAATGTGAACAGTGTAAAATAGTTAAAAATAATGAAGTACATGATAAGATATAAGATGTTTTTCCTACTTTGGTAGTAAGAAGACAGGGATCCTATGTGGTGTGCAGGCTGCCACTGAGCTAATTTGGTTGTTACTAATTTTATAAGCCCAGACAACTAATTATCAGCCCTACTCAGGACAAAAATGTGTATCATGCCTTATATTATCTCTTTGTATTCTTATGCGAAGAGCTCCTTTAAATCAGAAACAGAGATTTATTTGTTTGTTTGTTTGTTTTCTTGTATTCCAAAGAGCTTAGCATCGATAGACCCTGTTCAAAAAGAGTCAATGCTTAATCTGTTCGTTGAAATGGGCATAGGATTTAAACAATGCAGCTGTCAATGCAATTTCTTCAAGAGAGGACTCTTAGTAGGTCTTCCTCTAAGCAAATAATGCTCATGTTTGGAAGGAGTAGTTTTTGATACATGGTATACTTAGACCCTGGCCCAGTACTGAGCACTTGAGCCAAAAGCTGCAGCAGCAAACACGCATGACCATACCTGTTTAAACACTTCTTCATCCTGGTGAGTGGTCCTCACCAGCTCTTGAATGAAGCCGTACGGGAGATTCCTGCACAACATGTAGGGCACGAGGAAGGATGGCTGCTGCATGGACCTGTGGACCCACAAAAACCCAAGGACTATGATGACATGAGCTCACTACCCATAACAACACAAGCACGTGGAATGGTATGGCAGCACTGCCCACCCAATTGTAAGTCAAATATCCCAAATATTCTGCACAAGTTTTAGGCAACAGATAACCTTTCTTATCACACATAATCATTTCCTGGCCTTTTAAGTAAGACACTAAGAAATTTCAAAGATTTCATCTTTCTACATAGTCCACTAAAAAATGAAGGATTCTGTTTTACTTATTCACTAATGCCTCATTCAAACTGAACAAGAAAAGATGAGCAGTAGTCTTTAATACTCTTACTAATTTAACATGGAACATTCTTTCGGGGGTGGAACTGGGTTTGAACTCAGGGCCTCACGCTTGTTAGGTAGGCTCTCTGCCACTTGAGCCACTCTGCCAGCCCAGTTCCCCCCCCACCACACACCTTGAACTTAGGGCCTATCCCTTGAACATCTCTACCAGCCCTTTTTATGAAGGGTCTTTTTGTTTTGTTTTGTTTTTTGAGATAGGGTCTTGAGAACTATTTGCCTGGGCTGGCTTCAAGCCTCGATCTGCCTGATCTATTTTAAAAAGCACACAGAACTTTTAAAACATAACTATTTCTTTTTAAAATATGCACTACTATAGAAGATGAGGAATATTGTTTTATTTTCATAGTATCTTAGAGAAGAAAAGAGTTCTCAGATCATCTAATCAAACATTTTCACTATACAGATGATGACATAAGTTATCCAACACGGTGTACATGTCTAGACAGCCTGATGTCTACTGAGGGATGGCGTCCTCTCCTGCCATCATCAAGGACATACGAACATAACAGGTCTTCATACCTAGGCTGTGTCAGGGAGCCCTGGAGTACTAATGCAGTGTGGGATATGCACTGTGAGCGGATGTTGCTCAGAAGCTGACTGACCGATGGCTGGCTACACATCTGGAAAAGAAACAAACAAACAAAATAACACCATGCTATTGAAAACTGACAAGGGTCAGAAAAGTGAAGGCTCAAAATGGCAGGCTTTTCTCTTCCTTTGTTCATAATAGACAAAGTGTAGTAAGTTTACTGCATCGGCTGAAATCTACGTGAGCAGAACCTCAGAGACATGCACCCTCTCTTTGCTTTTGCTACGGTTAAGTCCAACAATCCCGAAAGAGGCCTTCACAAATACAAAACTAACAGGTGGACAAAGAGATTACTCTCTAGTGCAAACCTAGAGCTAGATAATGAAATAATAAAATGAGAAGATAAGGAAGTCAGGTCACCGTGAAACAGTGGAAATGGGGCAGTTTCCTGAGTTTAAACCCAGCCCTGTGCCTGATTACTTAAGTAATTATGAACAATAACGAGACAGTCTTTGAGGTTCATCTGCTTATTCACACAATGGAAAGGACACCTGTCTTATACAGGGGAACAGTTACTCTGAGCAGCTTACAGAATTCAGGCTAATGTAGACTAAAGATAGTCTTTGGAAGTCTGTTGGTGCTCCATAATGTTGGTTACTATTACAATGATCATCACAGACTATCAGTGTTAGAGTTTGAATCTAAAAATGTTCCCTGAAGGCTCAATCATTAAAGGTTTGACTGGCAGCTGATGGGCCTCTGAGAGATGTTTGGCTCATGAGGGCCCAAGTAGGAGGTAGGACCTAACTGAACTTAGCAGGACTGTATATCTTGTCCCCAGATCCTTCCTCTTTCCGGTCTGCCATGAAGTATGCAACTTTGCTCTGCCACACACTCCTTTCCACTGTGATGCTCTGCCTCATCACAGGCCTAAAAGCAATGGAGTCAGCAGAACCTGTACTGAAACCTCTGATACTGTGAGCCAAAATAAACCCTTCTTCCTTGAAGTTGATTTTCTCAAGATATTTTGTCCCAGTGACAGAAAAACTAACACAATTAGCAATTATCAGGGTTGTGTAAGTCACAAGCATCACCCAGCTGCAGAGAGTGAAGAAAGGTAACTCAGAAGCCAGGCTACCTGGTTCACATCTTGGCTCTGTCATTTCTCTTACCCACTAGGATGTGAGTTCTATGAGGACAAGTATTTGTCTTGTTCACTGTTATGTCCCAAGGTGCTAGTACTCTGCCTAGCACATAACAGAAGCCCAATAGCTACTTCATTGATTGACTAAATGAAAGGCTTCTCTGGGCCATGGATGTCATCAACCTTTTTCTATGAATCTTACACAGTACCTTTGGAGCCTTTTTCTCCTCTATCCCAACGCGGTCAAAGCACTCGATGAGGTAGTTCAGCATGTCTGTCTCCTTGCAGGCCTCAATGGTGAAATGGTCACTGCAGGAATCCCAGTTACTTGCTCCTCCAGAGGCTCCCAAACTTCAGAGAAGAGAAAAACATTGAATGATCTTACCTCCTCTTGATTATTTCTCTTTACAGAGTTTGAGTTTCTGCAGCAGAAAGCCTGTTAGGATCCTTGCATCCAAGTCAAAGCACAAACACCATGCAGCCCAGAAGGGAGCTCACTGCTTATTTAAACTGCTCCCAGTCCAACAGTGATTTCTGAAAAGCATTCTGTGGGACTATGAAAAGAACCTTATCCTTCTGGAGATGGCAACTTAAGAACCAGAAGGACTACCTCTACTGAGTGCTAAGCATTTGAAGGGTATCAGAGGTACTTAAAACAAACTAACCAGCACTATTCAGAGAGACCTGAAGTTTATAAGGCCAGACGATGCTACTGCTCTAACACAACACTTGAGGAGTGAACTTGAGGAGGGACTAAGAAAATAGCTTTCTTTCTCAGGACTTCTATCTGAAAAGATTCCTCCAGCATTTGCAATAGGACCAGAGGTTAGGGAAAGTGCCCAGTTAGGCGGAGACATGAACATATTTACCATTAAATTTCCCAAACTTTTGGTATAAAAGCAAAGTAGCAGGATAAAACAGATGAGCAAAGGATTTGCACCAGGGGTTAGCAGGCTTGGGTTCGAGTAGCAGCCTTATTGCTCACTTGTTAGCTGAACCCAGAACCTCCATCTGCAGGAGCTTCAATGAGAAAATACAGATGCGCTTTGTGAAATAGCAAGGACAAAATGAAACACTGTCATTATTTGTAAGAACTATTCTCTCAGACAAACATACTCACAGGGACTAGATGTGAGGAAATCAAACATAGTCAAGGTCAACCACTGATGGACTACATATCAAAATGAGTGTGTAACTCACACACTCATCAGATAGGCATACAAAAAATTCAAAGAGATTAACCAAGGCACAAGAAGCAGCAGGAGCTCTGAAATTCATTTCTCCTCAGAGAAAGTGAGAAAACAAACAGCAAAAATATCACAGAAAGATGGTGATAAAGGATGAAAGAAGCCGGGAACTGATAAGACACATCCCTACTTCAACTTAGGGCAAAAAACTGAAGGATAGACAGACCAAGGGGTCCAAAGGGACCAAGAAGAATTGAGATAACTACAATGTCATACAGCTAGACAGATATACCATGACTAATTTTGGAACATGCACAAAATTGACCTTTACTGAAACAATAAAGAGGGTGAAAACAGGGCTGGAGAAGTGGCTCAAGTGGTAGACACTTGCCTAGCAAGCACAAGGTCTTGAGTTCAAACCCCAGTGCCACCAAAAAAGAAAAAGTGCCAATTTTAAATCCAAAGCTTTTGGTCCAGAATCCAGCAAATTTAAATCCCTACAATCTACAATATGGTTTGATAAAAAAGCAAGGTGGAGATGAGGATGAGAGACAGATCAAGGAAGAAGGCAGCCCAGCCAAGTCCACTGAGCAGGATATGAAGCCACCCACGAAGCATATCACTAGAGCCATGCAAAGTTGGGCAGGTCAGCTAGGGACCCTAAACAAAAATAGACAAATTCATTCTTGTGCTGTTACAGCAATTAACATTTGGTACCTTTTTTTGGTTGTGATAGGATTTGGACTCAAGGCCACCACTTGAGCTGAAAGCCCACCTGTTTTGGTACATTTTTTCAGCAGGACTGAGCATTTCTTAACTAGCCTGACAACAGAAAGGTGAGTAGTATGACAAAGCACAGGAGAAACAAAGATAAAACAGAAACACCCATCAACATACATGAGCAGCACAGTGAGCCCTCAAGAGTAAAAATGGGACATTTATCCCTCCCTGCAGCAATCTTCCATTCAAGCTATCTGCGATTCCAGCCTCTCCATCTATGCTAGTGACTCAGTGACTATATTCACCCCACATCCAGCTATGAACTTTGTTAACACAGGCTTGTACCTATGTGCAAGGAAGAGTAATTTTCCTTGTAGCAGCTCTCACAGATGACAATAAAAATAGATTGTTCTCAGGTTTAAAATAAAAAATTTTGAACTATTCATTTCCCTGATGGTAAGCTCTGTACTTCTTACATTTTCTGAAAAGTATTTTATATTTGATGTCAACAGCTGCAAAGAATTAGTTTTATGTGGCACCTATAGCTAGCATACAGACTCGTGTGTTTGTATGAACTCATCATGCTTAGATAGTCTTGGCTCATGCAGTTATCACTGAAATTAGGTTTTATTCCTAACAACATATTCCATTTAACTTAAATTTGAACCCCTCTGTCACTTGAAATATTTTCATAAGTATTTTACTAGGATATGAAAAGTAATAAGGTGCCAGGTGTTGTAGTGTGCACCATGAATCTCAGCCTTTGGGGGGGGGTGAAGCAAGAGGATCCAGGACAGTCTGCACTACACAGCAGGACCCTGTCTCACAAAAAGAAAGGCAAAAAAGTGACACGGTATGTAAAATTCTGCCATCTCATGCCAGGCAATACAATGAAAGGTACTTTGAAGACTTTAGAGAATTATCAAAGCTAAAAGATGTTATATTTTGGTCAAATCAATCAAGTACCAAATAACCAGCTGACTTTCAAGAGAAGGGGGGGAAAATGGAGAAACTTAATCCAGTAAGGAAATGTATAGTAAACTCCAGTATGTTTCAAAATGACAAGATCAATCCTAAAGGTACCAAAGGAAATCATTATACAAGTATTAAAAATGGCCAGTCTCACATGGGTATATCCCTGTAATCCCAGAGGCAGGAGGAACTCGAGTTCAAGGTCAACCTGGGCTACACAGTGAGTTCCAGGCCAGTCATCAATGCTAAGAGTCAATGATCAAAACTAACTTAAGGATTTTTAGATTCAAAGTGAAAGAAATGGACTTAAACTATCAATGTGATACTGGAGGAAAAAGTGGTATGTAATTTACATCATAAGTTTATACTATCAATGAATATTTTTGAAATAGTTAAAAGAGACTGAGTGTGGTGATGTGCACCAATAATCCTGGCTATTCAGGAAGCTAAGGAAGGAGAATGAATAGAGTCCAGGAGTTTGAGACGAGCCTGGGCAACACAGTGAGACCCTGACTCAAAAAAAATTAAAAGTTTTTCACTTTTATTCCTCAAAAAGTTATAAAAGTCCTAACACTTCTGGGTTGGGAGCATGGTCAAGAGGAAGAACAGAGGCTGGAGGCAGGGCTCAAGTGTAGGGCGTCTGCCTAACAAGTGCAAGGCCCTGAGTTCAAACCCCAGCACCACACCAAAGACAGATGAGGAGGAGGAGGAAGACAAAGGAGAAGAAGAAGGAAGAAAAGAAAATTCATGCAACTTTTACAACTGTGACATTCTAAAATCTTGGAAATACATACTTAAGAATACCTAAAAACGTCCATCTCCCTCAGGGAGAATATGTGAACCATTTTCTGATAACTACATCAGCAGTCCAATTTAATCTTGTAATTATTTCACATAATAGAAATGTAGCAGAATCCTTCTGAAAGCACAATGAAAACATTCCAGGGATTATACATGCATCAGATTTGTGCAGACTGGATTATATTTAAAATGAACCACGAAACTTGTTTTCTTTGAAGGACTCCATTGCAATTTCTTCTATAATGGGGATAATCGCCCTCCTATTTCCTGAGCTTTGAAATGCCAACTTCGGAATTTTGTATTTTTTCAACCCAAGGCAGAGAGCTGTGCAGGTTCACACAGAATGGATTATGCAACAAGAGTGTGTTGTGGATCTTTTCTGCACAGGGCCTCCTGTAAGGTCCTGGGCCAGTGCACCAAATCACCCAGACAGCATAGCAGTTACATTCTAAAAGTAGAGACAATCCAAAACAAATCAGTATATAAGTGCTATGAAAGAAAATCAAAACAGAGTATAGGTGGTGGAGAGGCTGTGTGTGTGTGTCTAATGCTTAACACAGGTCAGGGTCTAGCCTCTGATAAAATAGCACTCATACATGAGCTGAGGGAAGTTGGGGCGCAGGCCACAAAGCTATCTGGTGAATGAGTGATTCAGAAAGGACACATGTCCAAAGGCCTTAACTCAGGAGTGAATACTAAGTGCAAAGAGCAGAAGTCGGTGCATGAGCTAGAAGATGTATGGGGCCATGAGGAGAACTTCCTTCTGCTTTATCTATGCTGCATCTTCTAGCAGTGATGGCAAGCAGAAACAGGAGGATGAATATCAACCTTTCTCAGTATTTGCTAATTTTCCCTTTCTTTATTCACACAGGCTCAGGACATTCAAATGTTGACTTTTTCAAGAAATATCTAGGCAGCTTAAAAAGGAAACAAGCAAAATAAAAACATCACTCAATGTCTTCCTGGTCACCAATTTCCTAGAAAACAATTAGAAGACTTCTTAGGATAATTCCTACAGTATCTGAGTCATAAGACTGTCTCCTTTCCTGCAAGGAGCAGCTCCTTGTAATTCACAGGTCTTCCTATATAAGGCTTGAAACAATACAGAAGTTATGTATTGTATCTTAAAGTGACCCTTAGAGTCACCACTGTAAGTTACTGTTGCAGCTACTTCCAAAAACATCTGCAAACCACCAACTCCACTGGCTAAACAGAAGGGAGATGGAGACAATACCCTACCCCAACACCTCTCTCTGGTGGTACTGGGGTTTGAACTCACAATCTCATGCTTACTAAGCAGAAGCTCTAACACTTGGGCCAGGCTTTCTCCCACCCCCCATTCTTGTGAGGATAATCTCACTAGGCAAGAAGTGGTTATTTGCTTACTACAAAATGAACAAAATTATGGGAAGACTGATTAGAAAAGAGGTCTCTTTGCTGACCACTCAAATTAACAAGTTTTTTTTTTCCTACCTATTCCTGGTTCTACATATCTTCTTAAGTACCCTATTTGTTTAAATTGTATGTTTTTAACTTTGCATTCTTTTTGGTATCCACTAGTAATCTACAATTAAATTATCTAATCTACAACCTTCATTACCCCATTTCGTTGTAACCATTAGTAGGGGGTACACCAACTGACTGGAATGGAATTTTGTAATTAAGGAGTAAAATACTGGCACCTCCTGTCTAAGGAACAGAGCAGACACACAGACTCTCAGCAGTGAAATAACTCATAGGGAACACAAACAACACAGGTCCTGTCAGACACAGATGGAAAGGCCAGAGGCAGTGCAGTGTGGTGAAGAAAAGTGAGCTCAGACTCCAGCTGCCTGAGTGAATCCAGGCTCTGCCACTCACACATGTATGACTTTTAACCTCTCTGTGCCTTGTTTGCTCACACAATGCTACAGCAAAGGTTAAAGGAACAAGCACAGGTGCAGCACTGACATAGTATCTGGCACATTGTGCTTAGTAAGCATTTGCAGCTATTATTACACATCAGTAAGTGTAGAACCTAGGCCTCAAGTAAGGCTGAGTTGCTAGAAACCTCGGAAGAGGGGTGTCAGTAAAAACAGCCTATGATGGAGTACAGTTGATAGAGAAGTTGGAATCAAATAGGCCAGAGAGGAAGGGCATTTCTCCCCCAGATAACTTAGCGCAAAAGTGGTAACAAAGCATTTTTACCACATATGGGAGTTGAATCCTAAGAAGAATATCTGCCATGTCACTATAATCTCCCAACAGGATCTTATCTACAAGAGAGAGACACTTCTACTTTGGGGAAATTTACTTGAGAAATAGTGACATACTGTTCAACCTAATACAAATATCAAGCTTCTGGAATCAATACCCAATCTTGCATCAACATTTCTCTCTTTATGTGCTCTCTAATGATTCTTCTGAACACTGTCAAATTTAATGATGTATACCTAATTGCTACCAAGCTCTCTATTTATAGTTTGGAGTTATTTTTTAACTGTTGGGCACAAATACTAACTCTGTTCAAAGGAAACTTCAATTTAAGTACCTTAACATTATAAAGGCTATATATGACAAACCTATAGCCAACATCATACTTAATGGGGAAAAACTGAAACCATTTCCCTTACAGTCAGTAACGAAGTAAGGGTGCTCACTCTCCCCACTCCTATTCAACATAGTCCTGGAATTATTAGCCACAGCAATAAGGCAAGAAGAAGAAATAAAAGAAATACAAATAGGTAAAGAAATAAACTATCTCTATTTGCAGATGACATGATCTTATACCTAAATGACCCAAAAAACTCCACCCAAAAACTCCTAGACACCATAAACAGCTTCAGCAATGCAGCAGGACACAAAATCAACTTACAAAAATCAGTACTCTTCCTATACACCAACGATGAACAAATTAAGAAAGAATATAGGAAAACAATTCCATTTACAATAGCCTAAAAAAAAAAAAATCAAATACCTAGAAATAAACTTAACAAAGGATGTGAATGACCTCTACAAGGAGAACTACAAACCAATGAAAAAAGAGAACAAAGAAGACTACAGAAGGTGGAAAGATCTCCAATGCTCATGGATTGGCAGAATCAACATAGTAAAAATGGCTATACTACCAAAAGCAATCTACATGTTCAATGCAATTCCCATAAAAATCCAATGTCATTCATCACAGAGGTTGAAAAATCTATCCTAAAGTTCGATGGAGAAAAGACAGCCTCTTCAACAAATGTTGCTGGGAAAAGTGATTATCTGCCTGCAGAAAACTGAAATTAGATTCATGCCTGTCACCCTGTACTAGTATCAATTCAAAGTGGATTAAGGACCTTAGTATCAGATCCGAAACCTTGAGGTTAGTACAGGGAAGAGCAGGGAATACACTGGAAGCAATATGTATAGGCAAGGGACTTCCTCAGTAGAACTCAAGGAGCCCAGAAACTAACAGAAAGGACTGACAAATAGGACTACATGAAATTAAAAAGCTTCTGCACAACAAAAGAAATGGGTCTCTAAATTAAAGAAACCACCCACAGAATGGGAGAAAATCTTTGCTAGCTATCAAGAAGACAAGGGACTGATAACCAGAATATATAGGGCGCTCAAAAACTAAACTCCCAAAAAATCAAGGAACCAGTAAAGTAGTGGGCAACTGAACTAAACAGAACTTTTTCAAAGGAAGAAGTCCAAATGTTCAAAAAAACGCATGAAAAAATGCTCACCATCCCTGGCCATAAAAGAAATGGAAATCAAAACCACACTAAGATTCTACCTCACTCCTATTAGAATTGCTACCATAAGAACACCATCAACAAATGTTGGTGAGGATGTGGGAAAAAGGAACCCTCATACACTGCTGGTGGGAATGTAAGCTAGTACAACCACTATGGAAAACAATATGGAGGCATCTTAAAAAATTAAACATAGATCTGCCATATGATCCAGCAATCCCACTCCTGGGATATACCCAAAGAAATGTGACTCAGGTAATTACAAAGGCACCTACACATCCATGTTTATTGCAGCATTATCCACAACAGCCAAGTTATGGGAACAGCCAAGATATCCACTACTGATGAATAGATTAAGAAAATGTGGTATTTATACACAATGGAAATTTACTTCTTTATCACAAAGAAGAATGAAATTCTGTCATTCATCTTAAGCAAAGTTAGTCAGGCTTAGAAGGCCAAAAATTGCATGTTCTCCCTCATATGTAGTTTATAGACCTAAAACAAATGCAGTAATATTATTGGACATGGGTCACACACTAAGGGGAGAATGTGCATGGGAAGGAAACCTAAAACTTGAATGTGGTTGATATGCACACTCTATAGAATTGAATATAGTATAGTGATTTTAAATTGGCAGAGGCCACTATGGGAAGGGGACTAGGAAATAGTGAAGAGGTCTGGTACAGATGAAACCATACAGGTTGTAATACACATGTGCATGGTAACAAAACTAGGAATCTCTCTGTATAGCTATCTTTCTATCTTTATCTCAAACTAGCAAAAATGCTACCTTTTTCTAGCGTTTCTTATTGTCTCTTCAACAAAATTGGAGAACAAGAGGGTGGAACAGGTTCTGCACGGAAGCAGGGGTGGGGGTGGGGGTGGGGATAGAGGAGAGGTGGCCTACATAATGTACACACACACAAGTAAATGCAAAAATGATAATACAAAATTAAAATTAAAAAAAGCAAAACTGTTAAGATAATAAGCCAGAGGGTTAGAAAGAAAGAGCTATTATATTTTCTTGTTCAAAGTCCATTAGAAAACCCTAGTAGTGTTTTTCACCCAGTTTTAGGAGACTGTTCATTAACAACCTGAACCATGTTTTAGCTTCTGCTGTCATTCAACAGGCTCTTTAAACAAACTGGGTCTGGCTTCACCAAGATGAAGGAGGTCTTCAGGAAAATTTAAGGTTAGATGGTAATCAGAAGCTCATCTATATAAGACAAAATGACCCCATGGTCTTCAACAGACTGCCTAGACGGAGCTTTACAGGGGTGGGAACAGAAAGGACACACACACATATGGCAGGTCCCAGCCCCTGTGCCATTCCTAAATACCAGCAATCCATGCAGACATACTGTAGAACATTCTTACAATGGATAAATGAAGGGTCCCTCATTTTAGAACTAAAGGTGGATGAACTTTGATGATGAATGGTCATTAATCTATTTTCAGGTTTTTGACAAATGATTATAGGTAAGTTTTCCTCCAAAGTTACCAGGCAACAACTATGAAAATCATCTTATATGTAATGTCATCCCATGGTAAGGTTCTCACGTGTCAATACACTTGCTAGCCCACCTCATCTAATTCTATCCTGTTTGGATTTAAAGCACAACCCTAATTAGGATTTACAAGTTAGTTCCTAAGCACCTAAGCACATGCAGGGTAAGACTCCATTCTTCTGATACCTGGACCCAAACTGGACACAAGAAAAATCATCACCACCACCACCACCACCACCTTCATCATCATCATCATCATCATCACCATCATCACCATCTTCAGCTTCTTCATCACTACTGTCCCCAGAAAGTGCGAGGAAGAGGAAGGAGAAAGGATTGTCGTACATACTACCACAACAAAAGCAAAAAAAGGTCATCAGGGAACAAAAGAAAAACAAGAGTGGGAGAAGTTTTTGCCTCTGCTGTATTTTTATGCAAATGTTACACTAAAAGTTATATCCATTGACATGCATAAAAATAATTCACCTGAATTATAGAAATATACAGGTACATTTGAGAGAAGGGGCCACTGGATTTGTGAATTACTATTGCCTTCTAAGAGGCTGAACTTACACATAACCAAAAATCGAAGCTTCAAGGCATGAACAAGATGCAGGAGCCCTCAGAAGAGCAGACAGGGAAGAGATTTGTCACATGGCCTCTGGGTCTGACTGTATTCCAACTACCCTTGATAACAGTCCAAAGACCCAAAAAAGTGGTCCTGTGAGCCCCAACCCTCAAATATTACACTGACCACAGACTCTGTAATTCACTTGTAATGAAGAATGACACATAAATTCATGAATTAGACTGCAAAATAAAATTTCAAAATGCAATCCTTTTCTTTTCTTTTTTTCAGGAAGAAGAATAAACCAGGGTAAGAAGAGGAAGAAAAGAGGGCACAACAGAGCCTCCTTTACTTTCTGACGGGATCAAAGCCTGGCAGAAGCTCCTGTGTGGCCTCTGGACTCAGGGCACATGCCTTCCAAACTGCTAGCAGCACAGGTTAATAACCCAAAACAGCCCCAAAATTTAACTGAGGTCAGTGCCACACAGCAGTTCTTCCAAATCATGTTAATCTTCTTTCCTTGCACTGCAAACACACACTCAGCTCTCCTGTGAATAAATACCTAGGAGAGATCCGCAGGGAGGAGGGGCGTCTGCTGGCAGCACTGGGTGAGGCAGGCGGGAGAGGTGGGCCCACACTGCTGGGCCTCTGTCTGGAATTGCCAGCAGGCACAGCTTGGGGGCTACTTGAGCGGGCAGGGAGGCTTGGGGAGCCAGAAAGAATGGAGGTGCCTGAGGATCGTGGGGCAGGGCAAGGTGAAGACCCCCAAAGGTGCGTGACAGTGTAGGGCCGATACCGAGGGGAGGAGGACTGGCTTCCTGCAGCAGTTCCAGAAGCAGCACTGTGAGGGTTGAGGGAAGTGGAAGACACAGCCGTCTGACTGGCTGCACGGGAAGGTGAGGCAAAAGATGGACTCAGCACTGGCACAGAGCTCCAGAAACTGGTAGTGGGAACTGGACTAGTTTCATAGAGGCTAAATCAATTGAGGAAGAGAGGAAAGAAGAGAAAATCAAAGAAAAACTTAAGGTAACTGAAACGGAAAAATTCAGGCTTTTAAAGGATAGTATATATTACATTTCATGTTTTTAAGAGTACAAATATATAAATCAGATAAGCATTTAAATAATTATAATCTAACTGCTGCATCTAGAGGCATTAATGGACTCTTTTTGAAGAATAATAGAATAATATACTGTACATAGCTATTTGTTTGTAAATTTTAATCTATTAATAATCTAACCATAGAAAGCAAAAAACAAAAAAAAAACCAATCTAGAGAAGGTGATACCACCTCCAGTAACTACCTGCGCCCTCCAATGTGCGTTTCGTAACCTCCCTGACATCACCAAGCTAGATCAACAGTGTGAATAAGCATCATCCTTCTCAGCCGTCCTACTACCAATGGAGTGTGCAGGACATGCACACTGACCTGGACAAGGAGCTGGCACTGAAGGAACCCAGGTTGCAGAACATAGGGCTCGTTCCTGAACTGGAGCCAGCGTTCAGCATGAGGTTTCTGTCTGGTGACCGGGCTGCTGCTGCGATGGGCTGTGATGTGGCTGTCAGACTGGCAAAGGGGTTTTCATCCCGAGTCTGAGTGGACATCATCAGCACTTCCATTAAAATCTGGCCAATCAAATCCTTAAAATCAGAGAACACTGTTGGGAAGGCAAAACAAAGAACAGGTTACACACAGCTCTTCATAGCACCAACTGGTTCAGAACGGCATCCTGGCCTGGATTCTGGAATAGTAAAAGGACATTCATTAGCTGAACCACCCTGTGACACCCAAGTCAACAGTGACTTCCTGGTTATGGGGGACACTAACATTCAGAGAAACTGAGTTAAGTACAAGGAGGAAACTGGTGGGAGGTGCGGCTTCAAGCGGAAGGCCTGGGTGGAGGGGACCAGGGAATGAGGCGGCCTTATCTAGCCAGTAGTATCCACCGCCAGGCATCTGCTTTCTGAGGTGGCTCCCTGTGCCCAGCACAGCCCTGTGGACATCCAGATCGAGACCCCTCAGCTTGGCTCCTCACTGCTGGAACCCTGAACGGCCACAGAATGCAGGAAAGTCCTGGGAGGTGACCTTCCTGGTGCAGGGTTGTGAGCTCATGGCTCACAAGGCAGTGCAAGTTTCTGTCTCTTCTTTCTTACATAAGAAACTGCTTCTGGGGTGCACCTTGACTCATCCTACAAAGCATCCTACAAAGCTGCTCAGCTCATGTACTTAGGGCTCCTCTGCCTGCCACTGCATGCTCTCCCTGCCCATCTCCTTGTGGCCACTGGCCTTCGGGTGTGGCAAGTAATAGACCAGTGCTCAAAAATTCTTAGACAACTAGAAGCTTCAGGTGGAGGAGTCTCCTACCACAGTTCTGTCCCTGTCCTCTCCAGAGTGCTGGCAGAGAGAGGAGGGGACTGGGAGAAGTATGACAAATACAGGTGGAGGAAGAAGAGGAGTGAGAGTCAATAGCCTCTTTTATACTCCTCAACTTCAGAGAGCATCGGGGTTTTGCTGGTGCTCAGGGAACCCATCCACTCATTGCACACACCTGTTCCTCCCCACAAGCTTCCTCCCCCCTCTTCCAGAGGGATTCCAGAGTTGGAATCCCTGCCCCTCCCAAAATCTTCTACATTAAGCAGGACCCCTTTGAGCCTAAGGAGAAGGTACCAGGAGACAGAACTCAGTCTGGATAAGCAAAGGGGGAAACCAAGGCATTTCCTGAAGGGGATGCTAGAGGGAATGGGGAATCAAGTTCCCACTGCCCGTAGAAGCAGGCCAACATCTAGGGGAGGGGGTCCATTCTGGAAACCAATAGATCTTCATGGGAACAAAATCTTATTAGAGGATGGAGAGCCAGGAAGTGCTGCACATGGGCCTGTGAAGCTAGGGGAGAGCACAGCCTTGCAGATGAAAGTGCTTTGGGTGCTTGTGTGGGAAGTAGTTTGCAAAATGTGTCCAAAAAGTCAAAATATGAAAGACACATTATGCTGATCTTCAGCCTTCAGTCTTTTGGTTATGGCATTTGTAATAAGCATTTCAAGTTGAAAGACCATCTGACAGAGCACATGAAGACCCAAACTGGGAGACTTCCATGCCTGTCCCCATTGTGGCTACTGGTTCTGAGTTCATACCAGGACCCAGGCAAGGGCTAGGGCCGGGCCGCTGCACACTGGACTTTAAATGACTGCTAAAGCTTCACTAGCTACTAGGATAAGACAGCAACTGCTGCTGATGGGTCTGATTTTTTACCCCATTTTGTTAACCACCCTATAGGAAAGTGGTGTATAAGCCATACTTAAATTGATCACTTGCCCTTGATGGACGTTCTTTTTGTAGTGTTGATATCCACTGAGGAAACCAGACTTCAGATTAAAAGGTTGCTGAGAAGAAGAGGTAGAACACAATGACATAATGATAACTTTTCGTTAGTCTCCGTGAGTAGTTAAAGAAGCTGGTTTCCAACTATGAATGTTTGATTCAGACCTCAGATAACTGAAAGAATAAGCTCTACACTTTGCTCTCCCTCATCATTGCAAGAATGATGTAACCAGAATTCTCTGTTATGTACTTCTTTTTGTTATACCTTTCCAGAAGCCCCTCAGATTATACCTTGTGTTCTTAATAGTAGATATCTGTCCAACACCTTTTCTTAAAAAAAAGTTGCAGTTTAACAAATTGTTGTATTTTAACAAATTGAGCATTCCCTGTGTCATTCCTAGAACCCACTTTAATAGAGGGTGTTCCCTCCACAGCCTGTGCCTCTTGTCTACCTTTGACTACCACTGATAACTCTTACATTTATCACACTGATGAATGTGACCAGTGAACTCAGGAGATGGTAACTGGCCTAAAATGCTCTCAGGATAGCACCACTACTCTGTGAACAACTTACCATGATCAGGGAGCTCAGGGCTAAGGCAACACATGCTAAATGCTAGAAAGTAACTGCACTGTGGCCACACATGCCTCCCTTTTCATCTTACTCATATTTCACAGACAGTCCTTGCATTGAGATTCAGAATGGGGGTGGGAGGAGATTTAAATTACTTAATTTCTTCTAATAAACTTTGCCCTGAGATCTACACTGTATGGAAAAAAAAAAAAAAGAAAGAAAAGAAATTGATGTACTGTTAACAAGTTACTACTGATATGTATTAACTGTAAAAAATAAGCCACTCCCATAGAGTTTAGGTTATCACACTACAAATGCAACTGGGTTAATATTTGAGTCAATATACATTTTATGTTAGAACTATAAAGTTCAAGGTTCAAACAATTTTATGATATTGAGTGACCATCTAACTTTCTGGAGCACAGTCTACAGTCTAGCTTCCTTCTTATTCTTTGTAGCTCCCAGCTGATTTGCTGTTAATCTTCAGATACATTCCGAACACAACTAAACAAATAAAAGTCCTAACCCAAATAAATTTTATCTTATTTGTTCATTAAAAGTTACCACTTATATGTGTAAGACAGATTTGAGAATCTTCAGATTTATATCATGAATAAAATATGTGGCTGCTAAACTCATCCCCTAACCAGAGTTAATAAGCAGCAGCTAATAAACTCAGAAGCAACCTACCCATCCTCCAGGAAAGCAGGCCTTTTGCTCCCTCCCTGGAAAACAGGCCGCACAGGAAAAGGAAAGGTGATCACCTTGACTATCATTCATTCATTTAAAATGTATCTATGAAGACTGTTTTTTGCAAAATACCCTCCTAGGCACTGGGGATACATCAGTGAGAAAAACAGATAAAAATTCCCACCTGTGCTGTTCCAATCGCTAGCGTAAGGAAAAAAACAATAGTGCCCCATAATATACGGCTTAGCATAGGTAATCTCTTAAAACAGAATCCTAGAGACACAGCAAAATGTCAGTATGTTCTATCTTGCTACGCAATCCATCAAACAGATTTATTCCACTGTCTACACATGGTCTGGTCGGCACTTAGAGCAGGCTGGTCACACAGAGCACCAAAGTCCCTAGGGACCACATAGCATATTTTCAAATGCCCTCTCTCAGCACCTTCTACTACAAAGAAAAAAACTTCAACCACAAGACAGTGGAACCACTAACTTATTTATATAGGTTTCTTCTGCAGAAGTCATGAAAGTAAAAATTAAGCTACCAATAAGATGAGCAGAAAGGGAAGAAAGTGATCAAACAGCAGTGTCCTCCTTGTATTCCTACAATAAAAGTACAACCCTAACACAAGACAGAATAAATGTGGACAACAGAGAAGCACAAAGCTCTCTCATGTGTTTCCTTGTACATGAGCTGGAAAAAAGATTGCTGAGCTAGATACCTACCTTCTTTTGGGTTCTGCTTAAACTGTGCAGAGAGAGAAGAAAGAAAGATGACGTCTCTGTCTCGATCTTTCCAAGAAACACGGAAGATCTTACAGACCAGCTGTAAGGCCTGCTCTTCAGACACTTCAGGGCCTGAGGAAGGCTCCTGGTGGGGAAAAAGATTTGAGGATTAATCTCCAATAAGAGGCATGAATTAGATACTTCTGTAGGAATGCTTTATGCAGATTTTATCTATTTATTTATTGTGTTTCTGCTACTGGCAATCTAAACCAGGGCCTCAAGCATGCTAGGCAAACATCCAACCACTGAGCTTCATTCCCAGCCCCTTAATGAGGATATTGAAAAATTGCATAAGCCACTCACTCACTAATTAAGAGAAAACTGAACTTGTTACCATGATGATACAATAAGAGAACAATAGCTTCATTAGGAATCACTCAGGAAGAAATGAGATACAGGATGCATGTATTTCCTATGTATTTAACTTTTCTGAACTGCAAAGAACCAGGGTAATATTCTAGGTATATAACCAATTTCCCTTCAAAAATATTTCCAAAATTTCCACACTGGAGCCAGCCACCTCTCTTGTGCCTGTCACTCAATAAACAGTGTCTGTGCCCCTCATTAAAAAAAAAAAGTATTTCCAAAATTAACATTGCTCATTATATTCCACCACAAATTAAATCATACATGGAGGAACTTTGTAAACACTAAAGAACTATACAAACTTTAGCATGGCACCAAGGTTCACCTTCTAATAATCACCACGTGTTGCTAAAGCATTCCTAATAACTTACTGAACAAAAAGTGATGTGATGACTTACACCATGACACCAAAAGCCAAAACAAAAGAATTCTAAATATAGGAACTCAGCTCAGACAATAAAAGTTTTTACTTGCTATTGGATTTTATACATTCTTGCTTCAGTTCCCTCAGAATACAGTAAAAAATGTGATCATCTATCTGTTTAACAAAAGGCCCACAGACAAAAATTCTAATTAGCTTTAAATTAGTTTCTATTACAAACTAAATTTACTGATAAAAACATGTTCCTGATCAGGTGTAGCTAGGATTATGCCTATAATCCTAACTACTTGGGAGGCAGGCAAACTGGAAGATTGCAGTTTCAAGGCTGACTCAGGGAAAAAGTAAGAGAGACCCCTAGCTCAACCGACAAACCAGGTATGGTGGTATATACCTGTTATCCCAGCTAGGTGGGAGACAGGTAGGAGGATCATATCTGAGGCTGGAGAGGGGAAAGTAGAATCTATCTGAAAAATAATGAAAAAAGGGCTAGGAGGGTATGTGGCTCAAGTGGTACAGCACCTGCTTACCAAGTGCAAGGACCTCAGTTCAAACCCCTGCACCTTTTGGGGGATAGGGGTGGGTGAAGGACCAAGGATAACTGAGGAGTTTTACCAGATGAAAGGACTGAGTTATATTTCCATTACACCCAAAAAATGAGGCCAGATATGGTGGCCCAGACCTGTAACCTCCCAACCTCTCAGCTTGGGAGAGTAAGGCATAATGATAGAGTTCAAAGCCAGCCTAGGGTACACAGCAAGACTCTATCTCAAAAGGATGGGATGGGGGGAGGATAGAAAGACAAAAGGCAAACAACTCTGCCTACTATTCTTTAAAAAGAAAAAAATCCACGCATATACCTCTGCTGATGGAGTAGGCCAACTGAACAGGCATTACATGATAGTGTGTGTTTGTGATGCCTGCACTAGAGACTGAAGCAAGGGGCTGGGTCTCTTACCAACCTTGTCACTGAGGCTCCTTTTTTCTCTTCGGTCACTTTCATCAACCTCCATATTTTCAATTCCTGAATCCACATCCACCTGGGACATGCTTTAAGTATAAAAGACAAATAAGTCTTTCACCTTTGATAAAACTCCCAATGTCATAGCTGCTGATTAAGGCAAAGTTTTAAATTATCAGTCAAAATTGGTCAGGAAGGCAAAACATAAAAGTTAATCTTTTATTCCTTATAAATTTTTAACAGCCCTTCATGTAATGGGATATAAGCATCTGTCTCTCCTATGTTAGAAACATTATTCTCAAGGTGTCATTTCCTTGGGCTCACTTTTAAAAAGCAGAAAAACAAAACATCCAGTAGAGCAGACTCTCTAGACATGTTATCTTTAAATGAGACATAATGCAATCAGAGCCTGATTACAAAAGCTGGTTAAGTACATACTATTTTTCTCCCACATTAAATAAATAAGTGTCCAGTACCACTTATGGAAAGGCCATTTTTCATTGTGATAGGAAATCTCCAAAATCATATGTCCCATTTCATAAATATGTGGAAATGCTTCTGGATACTCATGTCTGTTACCTAAGGCAGTCTGTCCATGGCCAACACCACTTTCTCACTGACTCACAATGGGTCTTGATGTCACTGGGTCAACAGCACTTCGTTCTACTTCAAAAGTGCCTTGGCTGTCCCTAGTTCTTTCCTCTGCGCAGTCTTAGGAATCAGCTTGATTAGTAACCCTGTGCAGGTTCTGATTAGGATTTCACTGACTATGGAGATTAACTGGGGGAGAAATGGTATCACAGTGTTCTCCCGCCAAGCATTTACACCTTCTTCAGAGACTTTCAGTAATCTTAAGAATTTTCTCCATAAAGGACTCATACGTCTTTGGTTAAATTTATTCTTCGGTACCATATAGCTAATATTATATTTTAATATTTTTTAAAAAACAAAAGTTTTCATATTGTTTGTTGTTGGCATATAATACTGTAACTGTCTTTAAACACACAGTTTTGGTAAGCAACACGTTTTAAGAATATATAAGGTTTACTATGTAGATAATCAATAATCCAAATGGTAGTATTTTTTTTCTTCTAATCCAAACCTCACTTGTGATACTGTGCTGGGCAGTATGCACACACTGAATAGAAGAAAAAACAGCCTTGTTCAAATAGTGGCCAGCCTTGTTCAAATTCCTGATTCTACAGAGTGATTCTACCTGAATGTGAAAGGTAGGAATGTGGCTTTTTGGCAGATGTCCTTTAAGGTAGTCAGAATAAGATAGTCTAAGCTGTTGTAACACACACACTCTGGAATCTTAGAGGCTTAACACTATAAGGGTTATTTCTTGCTTACGCAAAGTCTGATGAGAATGAAGCATCCTTACTCCATCTTTAATTTATGCCATCTGCAATACACAGCCTCCCAGGTCACTGGAGCAAGAGAAGAAAGGGATGGAGGAGGAACATGGCTCAACTGTCTTCATCTAAAAGTGACATGTCACTTCTATTCATTCTAGTGGACAGAACTAGCCACTTGGCCCCTTTCTAACAGCAAAGGAAACTCCAACTTGTGGAACAGCTGGTGAACTATGACTCTGCTACACTGTTTCTTTTATCATTTGCAGTGCTGGGACTTGAACCCAGGGCTTTATGCATGTGCTCTACCACTGAACAACCTCCGCCCTCAGCCCCACTGTCACTTTAAGGATATTCCTTTCTGTTCTTCAAAAATGCTAAGGTTTTTTTTTCTTTTTTTAAATCATGAATCAATGTAAATTTGACCAAATTTTTACAGCTACCAATACATGGATTTTTCTTTTCAATATGTAATATGGTAGCTGATGTTTATAGATTTTTCAATGTTGACATACTCGTGTAATCCTCAGGTAAACTCAAGTTGACCATGGATTTATGTTAGATTATATTACTTTTAAAGTAAATTGTAATTGATATATATATACAGAAACATGCATGGGTATGCACTGGCTGAATGAACTTTCACAACATAAATATATTAATGTAATCCCACACAGATCAGGAAACAGAACATTACCAGTGTTCCTCAAAAGCCCCTGTGATTCTTCCAATCATGCATTTCTGCAAATATGGATATGATTACCATGCAATTAATTTTCTTCCTCTATATTACCCTTGTTTGGGTTTAATACTAAGGTCACATTAGCCTCATAATTGAGTTAAAATGTTCTCTATTATTTTTAATTATTTGGAAAAAGTTATATAAAATTGGAATGGTAGAACTACCTACAAAACATTAGAAAAACTTTCCAAAAGCAATCTTAAAATAGTGATTCAGATTCAGGGTTTTTTTTTTTGGAGTTACTGGGGATTGAACTTGGGGCCTCACACTTGCTAGGTAGACACTCTTACCACTTGAGCCATTCAGACACCCTTCTTTGTGTTGGATATTTTCAAGATAGGCTCTCCTGAACTATTTGCCTGGGGCTGCCTTTGAATCATGATTCTCCTGATCTCTGTCTCCTGAGTAGCCAGGATTACAGGCGTGAGCCATTGGTTCTTGGCCGGATTCAGTTTGCGTGCGTGTGAGTGCCTATGTGTGTGTATATGGTTTTTGGTTTTTGGGTTTTTTTTGTTTTCATTATTTGGTTCTCTGTTCTTCATTCAATTTGGGGGAGAATTGTGTTTTTCTAGAAATCTGATTTAGATCCAACATTTCAAATTTATATGTACCTTGCATATTTTTCATAGAATTATCTTCTTCAATAACAAATATTACTGAGTGCTATTCTATGTAGGCATTGTTCTCAGTGCCTGGGATACTGCTGAATAAAAGAGATTTAAAAATTCTACCCAGTCCATGGCTCAAAACTGTCCACTGGGAGGACTGCAGTTCAAGGACAGCCTTGGCAAAGTGTTTATAAGACCCCATTCTCAACCAATAAAAAGCTGTGTATGGGGTCATGTGCCTGCTATCCCAGCAATGGGATGGTGGGGGGGGGGTACCCGGGGTGGGTGGAGTAGCAAATAGAAGGATTATGGTCCAGGCTAGCACAGGCATGAAGTGAGACCCTAGCTCAAAAATACAGCAAAAAGGGGTGGAGTCGTGTCTCAAGTGGTAGAGTGCCTGTCTACAAGCACGAAGCTTTGAATTCAAACCCCAGTACCACCAAAAAAAAAAAAAAAAGAAAATTCCTACCTCACTGAGCTTACATCCTGATTAGGAGAAAGATAAACTGTAAGCACTCAATAAGCAAAGCATATAGTATGTTAAATGATACACACTATGGAAAAATGAAAGCAAATGAGTCAGAAAAAGACAATTAAAGAGTGCAGGCTCAGGGGTTAGGTGTGGTAGTGCACACCTGTAATGCCAGCTACTCAAGGCAGCTGAAGTAGGAGAATGGTAGTCTGAGGCTGGCCTGGGCAAAGGCAGCAAGACCTAACCTGAAAAATAAACTAAAGGCAAAAAGACTGGGGGAGTGGCTCAAGAGGTAGCAGCACATGCCTAGCAAGCTCGAGGCCCTGAGTTCAACTCCCAGTACCACCAAGGAAGTTTAAAAACAAAAAAAAAAAAAGTGCAGGTGCTTTCTATTTTAAGTGAGAATTAACTTTCTCCCAAATTCTCATCTCCTTGGGCTTACTTAAAAAACAAAACAAAAACCTGACATTCTCTAGACATTTTTTTATGTGCTGGAGATTGAAACCAGAGCCTTCAGCATTCCAGTTATGCACCACTGAGCTACAGCCCAAGTCTAGGAAATGTTACTTTTAAATGATATGAAACTCATTTTAAATGAGCGCATGGAGAAATGGCCTATGGGGAAAAGGCAGAAGGAGGTTATTAGCATGCACACATCTAGAGATGAGTATTCTTGAAAAGGAATTTACTCAATAATCACTACTTTTCTCTTTTCCCTTCACTTACTTAACATATTTCGAACTTCCTACTTTCCTCTAAGAATTAGCTGCTATATACAAATTTTGGATGTAGTCTTTATTATTGTTCAATTCTAGATACTCTGTTTTTTCTGAGACAAGCTCTCATTACGTAGCTCAGATGGGCCTCAGATTTTCCGTTCTCTTGCCTCTGCCTCCCAAGTGCTGGGAGTTCAGGACTGAACCACCATGCTCAGCTTCAGTTCTGGATGCTTTTAAAGTTCCATGATTTATTCTTGACAGGCACTTAAAAATTTCAAATGTGTGAAGGTTTTTAAAAGTTCTACAGGGCTGAGTGTAGTGGCTCAGGTCTATAATCCTGGCTACCCGGGAGGGGGAGATCTGGAGGATTATAGTTCAAGGCCAGCCTGGGCAAAAAGTTCTGAAGACCCCCATCTCACCAATAAAAGCTAGGCATGTGCACCTCTCATTCTAGCTGCGCTGGAAGCATAAATAGGAGGATAACAGGCCAGGCCCACCTGGGCATAAACTTGAGACCTTATTCTAAAAATAGCTAATGCAAAAAGGGCTAAGGGAGTAACTTAAATAGTAGAGCACCTTCCGAACAAGCACAAGGCCCTGAGTTCAAACCCCAGTACTACAAAAAAAAAAAGTTCTGTATTAATTCTCTACCCTAATGTGTGATTCAGAAAACATGATTGATAGGGGTCTGACTTCTGAAAATTTTTGAGTGATGATTATTAGTAAGGAACGCATATCCTCAAACTGTAGGGTGCAGAGTTCTGTATCTTTCCATTACATCAACCTTGTTGGCTGTTACTTCGTTTGTCTGTATGCTTACTGACAGTTATTCTCCTGATCTATCAACGGCTGAAAGCATGTTTAAACCTTCCATCATGATTATGAGCATGTCAGTTTCTTCTTTCAGTTTCATCAGTATTTGCTTGTCACATGTTGATGTCACATTACTAAGTCTATAAAGATTTGAAATATTATGTCCTACTGGTAAAACGCATATTCATCATCACATAATGCTTATTTCTAGTAATTCTTTTTGCCGTAACATCTGATTCGTTGGCATTGTTATTCTGATTTTCTTCTTTGTGGTATTTCTTTATCTTCTACTTTAAACCTTCCTATGTGTCCAGTGTACCTTCTGTAAACAAATGTAACATGGGATTGTATTTTGTTTTTAATCCAATTTATGGCTTTTAAGTGTGATTTACTATGACTGGTGACATATTTTGTTTTGGTTTGGTTTTGGTGGTACTGGGGTTTGAACTCAGGACCTCACAGTTGCTAGGCAGGTATTCTGCCACCCAACTTAAGCCACTCTGCCAGCCCCACATTTTGATTCTTTTAACTATCTCAGTTTGTGCTATTTGTCACTTTTTAAACTTTACATCTTTTTTCCCTTCCCTCCACCCTTGCCCCTGCTTGCTCTGTATTTTCCCTTTACTAGTTTGGAAGATGCATAGTAGTCACCTCTTATTCATTGGTTTTCCCCAGTTTCAGTCAACTGTGGTCCAAAAACATTGAATGGAAAGTTCCAGAAATCAACAGTTCACAAGTTTTAAGTTGCGCCCTATCTATACAGTATATACTACCTGCCAATTAGTCACTTAGTAGCTTGATTATCAGATTGATGGGCAAGGTACTGCCATATCTGTGTTCAAGTGACTCTTACCTGAACTTAATAGTGGCCCTGAAACCCAAATGTAGTGACACTATAGAGGCACTGGAGGAATAAAACAGGAAAGATAAACTGGTACTATGTGGCAATGAAGCAGGCAATATAGTAAAACCAGCATATGCAGATTTCAGTACTGTTCATGGTTTAGACATCCACTAGGGGTCATGGAATGTATCCACTGTGGACATGGAGACTACTGTATTGTACTTCTATTCTTTTAATGGTAACTCTTAAAATTTTAGCAAGTATTTTAAAGTCTAAAAGTAAGCCAAACTCTAAAATTAGTCACTATCTTTACCATTTTCCCAAGTAATATAAGAACCCGAGGTTGCTTGCTGTATCAGCACTCTTTCTGGCTTACCTGGTTTTGCTTGTTCAGTATTTTAGATCTATATGACTCCCTTTACTCTTCTCTCCCACTGTTATTTTATACACTGCTATTATTGTGATCTGATCACATAAACCAAAAATTCATTATTTTCTTTACTCATCTTTGTTTTTTTCATGTCAGGCATTTAGTCCTGAGGTCATTTTTATAAACCACTCACACCTTATTTCATAAAACACATTTAACACCAACAAATATAAAGAACATTTCCAAATGAAATAAGGACCTTTCAATTTATGAAATTTTGGCTCTAATATGGTAAGGACAGGTAGGGATCTCTGGACTGGCATTTTAGGCTACTAGATAGAGACTAAAATGAGTGGATCCTTAGCTTTCCATAAATAAGAAAGCATATTAGAGAAATGGTTTCACATTACCTTTTCTCACAAGAGACACCATCGATATCCATGCTCTGGGAACGTGAGAGGGACTGAGATTGCGTCTCGAGGCTGTTGGAAGGTGAGCTGCTGAGAGAACTAACTCCTTCACTGCTCTGGCTCCGATGGGCGACTCCTAAACAGAGAAGACAGGAGACAAGGGATTGAGGCCTATGTGAACCAAAGTGAAAGCCAACTGTAATGGCAACTTTTGAGCATACGCAATCTGCATTTAATACTCTGAGAGGAATATTAGGAATATCAATATCTACCATATGAGGTAACAGCTACTTCTGATGCCTAAAACTGACTCATCACCTTTCATCATCATGATAGTCCAGGAAAAATTCTTGAACGAGCCAATAATAATGTACATTAATAAGTAGATGTGCAAGAAAGCAAGTGTAATAAAATGTAAATCACAGGATCTAGACAGTATGGTATGTGCTCATTTCAAAAAGCTTTCAACTTTACTGTATTTTGAAATCTTCATTAGGAGATGTTGAAAAATGTAAATTATTGATTGAACATCTTGATTAAAATTAAAAACTGACACTGCTGCTGTCCTCATAGAGCTTACAGTACAGTGTTAAGTGTCTTCAGTAGTAGAGGGACAGAATGCTTGTTGAGCACCTTTCTCACCAAAGGCTTTAAAAGCACATTTTTCACAGAATTTAAAAAAGTACTTCATGACTATTGTTTTACCAAAAAAACAAGGGGAGAGAAAGAAAATGAAATGGAGTAGAAGAACATTCACCCACAATTTTAACCCTGACTTCATTCTAAGAAAATGTGCCACAATTTATCATTTACTGCTCCTTAATTTCTTAATACCATGGGACTCTACTCATTTCCTAAAACTAAAAACCCGATAGTCTCTTTCACTTTGTTCAGAATATGAATTAAATTATCATGACTAAAACACATCAAAGCAACAGTACAAAATATCACTGTCTTTGGAAACCACATACACTCTTGGTGTCATCACCTGCTCCCATCCCCATTCCTCACTGAAGAAATCATGGACAGGACACCAAGCTTCAAAGAATAAGATTTTTCCCCTTCGCCTTTATAAAGCCAGATATTAAAGCATTAAAGATCTCTTTTAGAAGAAAAGTAAAACTCTCACATATCAGCTTAAAAGTAAGTTTTCAAAAAATGAGATGACATGTAATAAAGACATGTGATAAAGAATGAAGAAAGCCAAGTCTGCTTAATAAAACATGAATTATAATAGTCAAGCTGACAGTTCCTAAACTTCTGTTGCTGCTAAGAGCGTGTTGAGGGTAAATTATGCATTCTCTGTGGGAACACCAGAGCTGTAAAGTAACCAAGAAGGATTTTATTTCCTCCTATATTGTAGCATTTGATATTCCCTTTCATGAACAACCGAGACCAAATGCCTATTTTTAACCTACTAAAGTTGGACCTGTTCCAGTGCCCCTCCCCCCCCACAGAAGACTGCTAAATTTTAATACAAAAAGAGGCAAAGGATTGCCAAAAAGAGACCTTTAAACCCCAAAAAAGGTATAAGAGAAGGGAGATTAGGTGACCTTAAAAGATCCAAGCCTCATTTAGAGATAAGAGTATCTATGTTTAAAACCTCCTTTCCCTTAAGACCTTTGGCAAGTTTGAAACAGATCAAAGATTAAAACAGAGGTCCTGGGATTTTTAATATAATCCTAATGCTAGTCCTTCTACTCCAGACTACTAGGCTGTCTCTCCATGAGCTTTTTGTGTTTGCGTGTAGGACTGGGGTTTGAACTCAGGGCTTTACACTTGCAAAACACATACTCTACTACCATTTAAGCCACAACTCCAGTCCATTTTGCTGTGGTTATTTTGGAGATGGAGTCTCCCAAACTACTTCCCCCAGGCTGGCCTAAACCATGATTCTCCTGATCTCCAATCTGTCTCCAAAGTAGCTAGGATTATGGGACATGAGGCACAGCAGCCCAGCTGAGTTTTTTTTTTTTTTTTTTGAGAAGGGTCATTGCTTTGTAGCCTAGGCTGGCCTCAAACCTCAAACTAGTGATCCTCCTCCCTCAGCCTCCAGAGTAATGGGATTACAGATGGGTGCCACCCTATCTACCTTCAATGAGCTATTTAAACCAATGCTCCAGTTCAGTCCCCAGCACAAAAAAAATAAATAAAGCAAAGCTACACAGTGATTGTGACTCACTCCTATAATCCTAGCTACTTGGGAGGGTGAGATCAGGAGGACTGAGGTTTGAGGTCAGTTAGGACAAACAGTTCAAGAGACCCCCATCTCCAAAATAACCACAGCAAAATGGACTGGTCAGTGTGGTTCAAGTGGAAGAGTACCTGCTTTGAAACATGAAGTCCTGATTTCAAATCCCAGTCGTATCAAAAAAAATTTTTTTAAACATAAAAAATTGGTATTGCAAAAGGAATCATTCATTCTATAACCAAAATCCTAGTTTCTTTTACATAGATTTTGGACAATTAACCAAGTTAAAGAGTTTCATAAAAAATACAAAATATATACTTTTTTGCTTTATTTGGCCAATACCAAGACTCACCCTAGAACAGTATTTATAATGAACATATTTTATTTCATAGAGCAGGCTGACATGTATTTTTCTTAGCTAATTTCCTGGCTAAAATATTTTGTTCTTATGAATAAAAACAAAATTTCAAACCTGCGAAGAAAACAATAGTACCTAAAATATTAGGACTAAATAAATTTTAAAATTTAGGAAAATAACCAGGAGCTGGTGGCTCAGGCTTGTAATCCTAGCTACTCAGGAGGCAAAGATCAGGAGGATCGAGGTTCAAAGCCAGCCTGGGTAAATAATTCACAAGACTCTATCTTGAAAATGCTCCACAAAAAAACTGGGCTGGCAGAATGGGTGAAGTGCTAGAACGCCTGCCTAGCAAGCATGAGGTTGAGTTCAAACTCCAGTACAGCCATAAATAAATAAATAAATAAATAAATAAATATTAGGACAGGGAAGCCAACAACTCAAATTAGAAAACTGCTTCAACCTTCCTATATATAAGGCAATGTTCCTTTCCTTAGTGTCAAAAGGGAAAATCATGCAAAGAATTATACACATGGTATAATTTTGGTGGTACTGGGGGTTGAACTCAGACCCCTGAGCTTGCTAGGCAGGTGCTCTACCACTTTAACCCATCCCCAGCTTCAGCGACGTTGTCCCCCAACCTGTCGGTTCAAATAATCACACAAAGTATAATTCCTGTTAATCCACTATACTTAAATTTGTTTAAAAATTTTTACAAAGAACAAACAAATGTGAATTATAGTCTACCTCCTTCAATGGAAAAAGGATGTGCACATTTAACTGAACTGAATTCCCTGATGGAACAATTACCTCACTCCCTATCTCTGCACCTAGTAGTTATTATTAATACTGACTGCAGAAGGGCTCTGAGGGCACTTTCTCAATTTTTGATTTTAGCACATGTAGATGCTGTAAGTGAACTCCATAACTGAAGTCATTTAAGTTCTTAGTGCCTCAGTTTCTCTATGTGTACAATGATGTACAAAAATCTCCAGCCCTGTAGGAAGCTGCTGGTTCACGCCAATAATCCCAGCTACTTGGGAGGCTGAAATCAGTAGAATTGTGGCTCAAGTCAGACAAATAGTTCGAGAGACCCCATCTTCAAAATAATCAGAACAAAATGGAATGGAGGTGTGGCTCAAGTGGTAGAGTGCCTGCTTTAAAGCGTGAAGCCCTAAGTCCAAAACCTCAGTCCCAACCTCCCCCACAAAAAAATTTCCAGTCCCTTCCACTTCTACTAAAGTTAAAATCTGCATAATCAGTTATTTTTTTAAAACCATGCTGTGTTTGCAGTAAGCAAACTAAATACTATACTATGCATTCTCCTAAAACAAAAGAAGCTGAGCCAAACAAATGCCTGACACTGTGCCACTTCACAAAGGCTTTCCTTCTTTCAGTTCAATGTTGCACTATCTCTTTCACCTACCAGATTCGGGGAGCTCCAGGAACTTAAAAGCACCTGATTTAACAAGAGTCAACCATTCATTCTTTCTTTCTTTAGGATGACAAAATTCCATGTCAAAGGGAAAGGCAGAAAGGAGCAGGGACTGTTGCTTAGCTAAAGGAAACAGGGAATTGCCTCTCAACAGTCTACTCCGTGAGAGGAATCCTGCCAGACCTGAGAGACTCATTGCTGGAGGCTGGTTGGAGCTCAACTCTAAGACTTAAAAGTTATCAACATCCAACTCCAGGGATTAAAGGTGACAAACTCTTGTGCATTCAGACCCAAACCTAATTTTTTCTTAAATTTACTTCCTTTACTACAATTGGGAGACTGGGAAAAGATGTCAAGAAAAGTTCTCAGTTATTCTCAAATTAACACAGTAATCCTCCTGGATACTATAAAGCTCAACAGATAAAAGAGAAATAAAAGATGGTTCCCCTTCCCCCAGAACTTTTGGTCTAGTTAGGAAAACAAGATAAATGCACAGAAAACTAAGATTAATTTTTGTATCATAATACCTAGCAATTATAGGTCTGTTGGTGTGAGTACAATGACTGGTATAGTTATAGAGACCTTGCTCTGAACAATCAAGTTACTTGAAGACGTTAGAGCCTAATTACAGAGGACCTAAAAGTCCTCCGCCTGGATTACAGTTGGAATCAGGGAGACAAGGCAGGCTTGTGAGCAGGTGAGTGACAGATCTTGCCTCTTCTATACCATAAGTTCCATTAAGGAACTGGGGAACAGATTTTAAAGAAACCACTCTGATTGCTGGAGGCATAGCCTGTGCCTTGGTTATACTTCAAAGCATGACGAAGGGACTGTGACACAGTGCATGGCCCCCTGTGCAGTGGGCAGAGTGCTAGGAGGCAGCTGGAGTCGGATATGGGCAGCTAGAAAGGCTGTGAACATAGCAGAGGTTCCAGGAAGAGGACAGAGAGAGACTGTCCTCTAGATCAAAAACAGGAAGCTGAATCCCAACATTACAAGCTTCTCACTAACAAGACATCAGTGCCTTTTCCAGATTCACAAAGTCATTAGTATGACCTAGGAATAATGCTTTACAACTGAGTCTGGCACTAATAAAGACACTCTTCAGGAAGCCAAAAGGCAATTCTAATGAGGACTCACTAGAGTAACCAGGCT